GTTTATACTAAACAAACTTCAGATTTTAGTAGCCGAGTCCTAAGGCTCAATGAGAAGCGAAATCTTCAAATAGGAAACGAAGCTACCTTCTTGCCAAAATAAGGAAGCCACTTCTTAACATATTTACAGGTAAAGAAGTAAGGTTATAAGCGTTTGTTTCCTCCTTTTCAGTTCCCGCGATAATGACACGAGGCTAATCACAGCTGTTTCCCTACAGTTGCCCAGGCCGGCGGGCGTGGAGATACGTAGCCCCTTTGCCTTCTCTCAACCAGGGATACAGACATAAAAAAGGTGAGTTCATTACGTACCTTTATCGATAATTCTACAGGGTGTGGATGTTTGGTAACGTCGGCCAGTTTTGGCTAAGTTAATTTATGAAGCGCGGAAGGACTTCTACTTATGCAGTTAACAGCTGTCATGTCAAGTGTACTTTTGACGCACATTCTATATCAGCCTTGTCTTCAACTGTTTTCTACGTTTCGATGACTTGTTTAGGAAATGTACACCTTGTTTTGAAGACTCATTTCAAACCGCTACCATTTGCTGTGACGTTCGCACCACGATATGTTTTGGCCGAGATCTTTATGAGGCGCGGTGTGAGGCATATTACTGTTGACTAACTTGCCGTGGATAGAGGGTAGCCATTTAAACTTGAGTTTTGTCAGGTATCATATACAATAATGGTAGGAGTGTATTTCATGTATAGATACCTTCAATGTGTGAAGTCCTGTCTTTTGTTTTGTCCTGACACTAGCAACAAGCCTCACACCTTATCAGACCAATGACAGCCTTTCTTCTCTCCATACAGTTGCCATGTGCCTTAGCTAGTGCGCAAGCTCTAGCCGGTAGTTGCCGTGCTATAGCCGGGACAATCACACATGCCAGAAGCCGTGGTCACAGCTGACTCAAGCCTCCCGGTCACAGAGCTGATCATGACAACTGACTCCAGTCTCCTTTGTGTAAAATTTTGTTTCGTTATTGTTGATGATGGTAGAAGGAGCATGTTGATATCATATGTGTATTAAGTAGTAGCATCGTCGACAGAAAGAAGGCAGCATGGGAGGGAACCAGATAGTAGCAGAGCCATCACGTGCAGGCTATGTAATGCATTGCTAGCCACAGTAAACCTTACACCAGTTAGAGATTACTAGGATGACTTACATACGTCTGTACTACGGTGATACATTGCCTGTGTTTTACGGTATCTTAGTGTATATATTGTAATGACCTATTTTATATGTATTTAGAAAACCTCGCCAATGACGGTTCAAATCGAATCGAGGAGAATGTACACATTTTGAAAACCATGACTATGCTGAACAATCGGTGTATGTGGGAGCTGTGGTACGATTGCACTCTCTAACTAACTTGTAAGAGGATGATAGTGCAAGACCTGATGAAACTCCGAACAGTTCCCTTGTAATAACTTATACAGTTCTCTGTTATTGTAGTCCCTGTTATTGGTCCGGTTACAAATATGTGTGCTGAAGTGATGTACCACTGTTATGCGGTAATACATAATATAAAGACACAGGATTTCTACGACAAGGGACGTCAGTTCAAGAAGGAAAATATAACTCAGTTAAGACTGAAAGGGTTAACGTAGCCAGTATCATATAGTCATAGCCAGTCCGTCTTAAAAGTCTCCCGTGCCCAGTGTGCGGAAAGCCTTGTCTCTGCGTCTTTCCTTTATCCTCACAAAGTTGCATTGAAAAGAACTTGAATGCATATGTTGATTTGATTATATGGATGACATCCTCTGGGAACCCCAAAACTGATGCGCACGTGCGAATAAAAAAAAGTTTTGCAAAAAAGAAAAGTTGCTTTCACTATGAAATCTACGTGGTCATGAAGGTTGAACAAATGGCACAGAATATGTTATGGCGAATAATCTACTCTTCGAATTCATTTTTTTACATTCTTTCCTTTGATTTTGGCATTCTATAGGCTACGACATTGGTTATCGTTTCTAAATGTTTTCCTTACAACTTATGGTAAATTTTTGCTCATTTAGCAACTGTTTTGCATGATTTACAGTATGGTTGAAAACTTTTTTTTTTGGAAACGGTCGAAAATTCATGCGCGCACGGATGTCATCCATATAATCAAATCAACATGGCCTTATGTCCAAACACATACTTTTCATAAAGAGAAGGAAAACTACTAGAAAAAACAACCACCAAACGCGGTGACATATTGGTTTATATTCAGACAATCACGACATCTCCTTTGAAACATCTGACTTCAAATGCTGACCTTGTTCAATTCCAAACAATGATGCTGTCCAAGCTGTCGGAAAAGCTCCAAAGTCATTGAAAAACAGCTAAACAGCTGGGAGGGAATACCTCACCCGCTAGGTGTTGCCAAAAATGAATTCCCTGGGAGGGAAGACCTCACCCGCAAGGTGTTGCCAAAAATGAATTCCCTAGGGAATGCGTGCGTGGAATATTTAGAATTCCTGGCAATTCAATCGCAGTACTATACTAAGGGCTCCGCCCCTGAGGCGTCGCCANAAAAGGGGCATATATAAAAAGGTAACGATCTTCCCCCATCAACCTCTGCTTGGAGAGTACATGTAGAGTGTCTCCCAAAGTGGAATTTTTTTTGGGTTTAAATCTTGATTCGTCTTCCCAGATAGGCAGTGGTGACCTGCTGCATGATGACCAGGGCCAGTATGGCCGGACAGCAGAGACACACCACCCACAACACACCCTCCACCTCTCGCGAAAACCAGTTAGAGTTGATGCCCAGTGCCAGACTCCCGCACCCCAGGGCATACCCCAGCAAACCAAACGTGGCATGGTACATCTTCAACTGTGCTAGGGTCATCCAGTTTTTCATCAACTTTGGGTACAGCAGGTTGATTCCCCCCATGGATTGCACAAGGGAGTAGATGACAGTTGTTATGCCAATGAGTCCGTGCCAGGATGTGAAGTGGTCCTTGCCCGCGCGCTCCTTGTTGAGATAGATGGCTGCAAAGCCTCCCACAGCGCAGACAACAGCGCCACCTTGCAGGATCCAGTGGAAGCGCACCTTGGACTTTCGCATGGCGTTGATCATGAGGGAGCTCTCCGGGGAGAACATAAGGATAGCCTCTGTCATCAGGAGACCATACTGAAAAAAAAGAGGATAAAATTTATCTTGTTAAGCTTCATTTCTTTTCTCTCAGACTCACAGTAAAATACAAGCAGTAAAATACAAACAGTTCTCAACCATTACAATACATGTAACGTTACATTTGCCTTTACAGCTTTTGTCTATACATGTCCACAATCATCATCGTCTTGATCATTCTGGTATGACAATTCTTAGCAAGAATCCTGACTGTATACTTTGTATCATTGTACACATTTTTCGAAAGGTGTAGTGTCCATGATAACGTTAAAACCACATACTCAGGGTTGGACAAGTTTCCAAAAATCCACTTGCCGTATCGGGCAAGTACCTGGTCATTTCCACTTGCCCAAACCAACTTTTCACTTGCCCAAAATATGACATATTTCTATGCATTTTACTAGCAGAAAGGAAATTATTTTATTATAAATATAATGGAGTTCATAATGTTGGGCGCTTTATTTATCAAAATTGTTTGAAATTTGGTCGAAATACTGCAGGTGCTATACTTAAAAAGTAGGGTGCATCCAAAAAATTTACTTGCCCAATCGGGCAAGTACAGGGGGATATTCACTTGCCCGAACAGTACTTTTACTTGCCCTGGGCAAGTGGGCAATGGGACTTGTCCAACCCTGATCATACTACTATACATATACATTTGTAGTAGTACTCACTCCAATCACCATCAGAGTTGGGTGCCAGGAAAATAGACCTGGAAACAAACAGAAATCACTGTTTTATAGCAACGTTGATCACACTCAATTCAACAGAACAGTTGCGTATCTCTACATACTGGTATCAATTATATCATCATTTCTCAGATTTGTGATTTTCTGGATGTCTTAATCAGAATATCCTGATCAGAAAAAAATAAGAGAGAGGATAACAATGCTATGACCAAGGTGATGAAAGCTATGCTATGAGGAAGCCCATTCAATCTTGTCCTCATGAGGGCATGTTGAATTATCCTACAGGTCGTTTACCTTTGAACTCTTGGGTCTGAAGAAGCAGTTAGCTGATCAAACGAAGAATTAATCAAACGATAAACAGCTTAGCAAAGACGTGGTACTGCCAATATTTTCATCATCTGATGATTTCATTAGCTGTAAAAATGATCTCTAACCCCATAAAGTTACACGTAAACAAGGATGGTGGTGCCCCGCCCACACAAACACTCTGAAAAATGGTTAAAAGTCTTAAAAAGAAGCGAATTTCTGTGTCTTACTGGATCCAGGCCATGCCGTGTACAGCACTACGGCGGCAAGAACCACGGCCGCGGCGTGAGCGACCATCCCGAGAGCGAACGAACGGCGAGAACAGGAGGCAGAACTCAGGCAAAAATCTCTTCTTTCCTGATTTGAGCTTTCCGCCATATGCAATGCACCCAGTGCGCAAACTCGAGGGTGTGATAGAGAGATCGGGGATACCGATTAAGCAATTATCAACACTTCCGTCAAAATGGCGGCCATTTTCTCCACTAAAACAACCCCTAAAGCTACATCATATACTCAGAATGGAACTGACTTGATACTGGGGAAGTATTTGGGTGCATTATATCGTTTGACGAGAAAAACTGTACAAAGCAATGAACGAGACAGCCTCCCCCATGGACACCCTCAAGAGGCCATGATTAGGGCGTTCCAAAGTCCACTTTCGAGTTCATTGCACGATATTTTCTGCCTTCTACGCAGTTTGTAGGATTCAGACAACTAAGAATGGATATTAGACTCCGCGAAAAGCAAAAGAATCGCAAACTTTGCCTGCGATTATTTGATATTTTACAGTTTGTTATTTGGATTTTGCCAGCTCCAAGAGATTAAATAGAGCCACGCTACATGGGTCCTTCATAAGCAGCGTTTGAGACTGTCCTTATGTATATCTTATAATGTGCCTGCTTTTCTTGCATCTTTAAGCTTACCAAAAATTCGTAATAATTCATGTACGGAAACAAGTAAAGTAACAGTGGATGAAAATGAAAATTTAGAGGGTGCTAGCAGGATTTTGGATGTAAAATGCGACCAAAATGGGGCAAAATTTGTCAGGCGGAGAAACGTTTTGCAGGCGGTAGCTCTATGCAGATGAGTACACGTGAGTCCTCGCTGGCGTGCTCTCATCGCCACCCCAGACGAAGGTGTCCACATCGAGCCATCTTTCTACCGAAATGTTGGACAAATTCAACTTTACATCGGCGCTTTTCACTCTAGATTATTTCCATCGCTCCTAAAGACTGCTTTGGTCGCATTCTCGCAATTTTTGCGCGCGATTTGTTGATTTATTTTGTGTCTCTTTTTGTCTGGCAGGGAGTTGGGAAACATGGCTGCCCCAGAGCAAGTGGTAGTCCAGCAGGCAGTGCGGCCTGGAAGGGTCTTCGATCCCGTGGCCCTCGGATTGGGGAAGAATTTCCGCCTCACTCGCTTTGCAGACTTGAAGGGATGATCTTGCAAGGTCCCCCAGGAGGTTCTGCTCAACCTCTTGGAGGGGCTGCAAAATCAGACGATCCCAGAGGAGCAGGGGCAGTTTTTGCCGCCTCATTTCGCTCCGATAGGTGGGAAATTTCCCCTTCGCTTGTGGTCTCGCTTAGCGCAGTGTCTACGCGTTTCGCTAGAGGGGGCGCGTGAGCCGTGTTGTTTTTACTTCCACCAGAAAATCGTTGGACAACCCGCGCATCTCCATGTTTCCAAAACGGCTGTGAAAGATACTCCGTCCATAGGAATATATCCTTTGTTGATCAGGACATCTTATAAGTTATGGGTATCAGGTTTTTGCAGTGTATAGCTTGGCGCCAGCTAGGGAGATCGTAGGAAATGTAAATCCAAAATCTAGTCGAAAGGGGTATAGCTCTATGGCTTGCCCCCCTCCCCAAGGTAAATACAATGGGCATGTTTATAATTTTTCGAAAAATATGATCTAGAATGGTATAAATGTATCTTGATGGAAAACTGTACATATGTTCAACAATTTGTAGACTAGTATGGTAGAGGGAGGGTAAGCTCCAAAAATTATGGAAGTACAAGTATCAGGGCTTGAAATTCATTTTGGGGAACAGGTGCACCTAAAAAATTGGGTGCACCATAGCCGCGGCGACTGTTGCAGGGCTTCTCTTGCTTGCAGTCTTTTACGTTAGGGCTAATGTAAAAGACTGCAAGCAAGAGAAGCCCTGCAACAGTCACCGCGGCTAGGTGCACCATATACATGTTAGTAGAAGGTCAGCAAAAACTAATTATGTTTCATTTCTTAATCATGCACTAAAATTGATTTTGTAATTTTTTTTACCCTTAGATATTAAGAATCTGCTGTATACTACTATACATTTAACATATGTAAACCTACGAAAATATTTGGGTGCACTCACAAAAAAATTGGGTGCACAGCTCCAAATGAGGGTGCACATGCACCCAGTATTTCTAGCCCTGTAGTATTTACAAAATACATGTACTTGTTATTGTATAGAGAAGCTGGTTTCAGTTTTTTTTTGTGAGCTAACCGCTGCAGTTCCATCTCCTGTCGCTAGGGATCGGCATGGACAGCTGTGTGATCCCCCTACGCCACGGTGGACTCTCCCTGGTGCAAACAACAGACTTCTTCTACCCCCTAGTGGATGACCCCTACATGCAGGTTTGTTTGTTACCTTTGCCAAGAAGGTTATGTTTTCAGGGGCGTCTGTGTGTTTGTGTGTTTGTAAACACGATACTTAAGAAGGCTTTGGTGGATTATCTTGATATTTGGTAGGTGGGTAGGTCTTAGTGAGACCTAAAAATGATTAGATTTTGGGGCCCCTGGCATCTTGTTATGGTACTCCAGCAGAACTTCCAGTTTTTATATAATGTGATCTATACATGCTAGGGTCACATGCAGGTACAGTGTCTGAGACAAGGGTGTGGTCAACACATGCTCCTTTGTTGGTACCCGCAAGGCGTAACATACCAGTCTTGTATGTTAAGGCCTAGGAAAAACAAAATGTGTTTCCAGTTTCCCGACCAACCCAAGAAAACATTGTGCAATTTCCAACATTGACATTGAAAATAAAAAGTGTTCTCGTGTAACAGGTTTACTTTGTTAAACTGAAGTTGGATCTAAAAAAAAAACGAAAGAAAAAAAGATAATGCCTACCTACCGAGTCCCAACCTTATTTGTTTTCAGGACTGAAACAGGAAACACAACATTTTTTTCCTAGGCGACCAGACTTAAACTTAAAGGTTTGGGCTGTTGTACCTATGATGATACTCATGCACCACACTGAACGGTTGGTTGAAGAACCCTAACACCACACCACAGAATCTGAGGTACATGTACAAGGAAACTGAAAGTGAAACCAAAGACATCTTTCCTTACGGTTTCAAGCAGAAAACTGTGCTCTCAATCTCAAAATGTGGTTATTTTTATCCCCCTATTGGCTACACAACAGCATAGATATTATGTATATATAATTTTGTATGATTATCATTAGAAAATATTCAAATTCAAGCTGTACAGTCTTCCAATATGTTGCTATTTGTCCTGTGATTCTTTGTCTAAACTGATGTTATATGTGATCCAGGGCCCTACTGTAAAGCGGTGGTTACATTATACTGAGCTGGGTTATCCATGGGCGATAGGCCACCGAGTTTTTGTTGAGATCGTTGTTACTTTATTCAAATATATACTTAGGTAACTGAACAACAAGTTCACTGTGCAGTGCACTCCGTACAAGATCCCCGAGAATCATACCCTGAACACATAACACCTTGAGGTCGGTCCGTTGAAAGATTCCCGAGAATCATACACTCAACACTTCACCGTCAGCTCGGTCCGTCAATGGTTGAGTTTGAAAGATTCCCGAGAATCATACACTCAACACACAACACCGTGAACACAGTCCGTTCAAAGATTCCCGAGAATTCTCCATGCCCAACATATATAACACATACTGGGTACTTGGTCGGCTGAATCACACAATAAAAAGCACACTCATTACTTATTAGCTGTTACTTCCGAATCGGCGTTCTGATAGAGATAGATGGCGCAAAGGCCGACGGGAGTAGAACTGGTTTCGCAGTTATTCGAACGCGTTCGCAAAACCGCTGCTCGACTCGATAGAACCCCAAGCCGGGGCTAGCGCTAGCGATGGTGATAACTTCAAAAAGATGACAGGGTAGGAAACACCTACCCGTGAACTGCGTTACCAACTGGGGTGGCAGCAAAAATGTGACTTAGAATCACGTTCGGTCCCTGCCTCCCCAGACTCAGAGGACAACGATATCGTACATCTAGAGATATTGGGCACAACTACACTTTCCAAATCTCGTGCCTGGGAGACACATGTAGAACTAAAAACACGTCGGTGGGGTTTGTGGACGTGTTTTGAGCAGCCTGGCAGTACATTTACACATAGAATGTCGTATGATGTAGCCTTTCTGGCCGTCTCCATTTTAGAACCGCGCGGGAAATGTGGGCGCCTACCGTGCATCTCATTGGCTAGCGGTGATGTCATTGTCTTACTGCTGGTAACGCAGTTCGCCGGAAATCGGACTTTACAAAATGCTTAATATCTTCTTTAAAATATGGTATAGTAACCCAAGAAAGTTTACATGGCTACATAGTTACCCCTAAAGTATAGATAGTATCAAGACTTTTATTTTCCTTGTGGCATTTTGCAGAAAATAGGATGTTTTGAAATGGCATTTCGCACCTAGTGTATACTAGTACTTAGTACCTAACCAAGCTAAAGCGTTCGGAAGTCGCCGTTCGGCTCTCGGCAATCTTCGGTAAATGTTCGTATGGTTCTTTGGAATCCTCGTCAGGTTGTAGACCGAGTTCACAGTGTGTGTTGAGTGTATGATTCTCGGGAATCTTTCAACGGGCCGAGTTCACGGTGTATGTGTTCAGTGTATGATTCTCGTGAATCTTTCAACGGACCGAGTTCACGGTGTTTGTGTTCAGTGTATGATTCTCGTGAATCTTTCAACGGACCGAGCTCACGGTGTTTGTCAGAGTGTATGACTCAACGGATCATGTTCATTCCTTATGTATTGTGATTGCAACGGACTGAGTGAGTACGTAGTGTATGTTATAACATATGCAAAACAATCAAGTTGTAAAATAGTTTTTAATGGTTTACAAAACAACATAGTTTTCAACAAAAACTCGGTGGCCTAGCGCCTGTGGGTTATCTTGGCTAAACATGGTGGAAAATAATTAATGTTAGATAAATGGAAGAAAAGTCTGGAAACTCCAAGAAAGGATCCAAGTTCAAACTGGACACAGCCTTCCTAATGTTGATATTGAAATGTTGCAGGGTAAGATAGCGTGTGCGAATGTGCTGAGTGACCTGTATGCCATGGGAGTGAAGACGTGTGACAACATGCTGATGCTTCTCGGTGTCAGCAACGAGATGTCGGATAAAGAGAGGGACACCGTCGTGCCCTTCATCATCAACGGATTCAAGGTCAGGTTCTTAGCTGCCCATTTCTGGTAATCTCCACGCAGATCCTACAGTGGCAAGGCAGTATCCATTGGCAAGAGGAGAGTCCATTAGCCACCTATCCCTGGTAGTCCATCGATTCCGATGATGACTTCTGTAGCCACCGATACTGTCTGGCTAATGGTTACAGCCTGGCCAGTTTGACACTGTCTTTTGCGGCCACTGAAAGATCTAGATTTTACTTCATGTCAGTACCTATGATGACACTCATGCACCACACTGATCAGTTGGTTGAATGAGAACTCTCACCACACCCAATTGTCTGAGGAAAAAAGGACATTTTTTAAAAGTATATTTAACTTATGCTCCTGATCAGCCATGACTAATACTTCAATATAAATGTTTATGAACTGCAGGATCTAGCAGAAGAAGCCGGCACCATGGTCCAGGGAGGCCAGACTGTTCTCAACCCGTGGCTCACTATAGGCGGGGTGGCCACAACCGTCTGTCCACCCAACGAATTCATCGAGTAAGTCCTGAGACCTACATGGACTCTGATAGAGCTTTGCTCTGCATGTTTTGACGGAATCTTGTTGCTAATGAGAGATAATCTCCAAGCAGATCATATGGTGGCAAGGCAGTGTCCATCGGCCAGAGGAGTATGGCCATACAAACCATTGGTGGCCATACAAACTCCTCTGGCTAATGGATACTGTCTTGCCACCGAAAGGAATCTGCTTGAAGATTAAATAAGAGAAACAAACTTTTGCAATCTCTGATCTTGATAGTCAGAGTTAGTACAACAAAAAATTAATTACACTTCAAGTAAAATCAATTTAAAAGTGCCTCTGCTCCTGAGGTTAAACCAAGAAACTTTTCAGACTTACTACGTATGGGTTTGCTTAGATCATCTGACGAAGAAATTAAGGACTGGGGGAAAAACCTACACTGTAACTGGTCAACAGTGAGCACATCCGTCCCATATGATGAGAGTTTTTTCCCTGACAAACAGGTGGAGGTTCAGCTGATTTAATGAGCCTGATGGGATGTGTTTAGCCTGAATGTCAGCCTTTTTAGCGTATGTCCGCTCCCAAGATTTGCTTCCAGGCTCGTGAGGAGCGGACAAATGCTAACATGGCTGACACTCAGGCTAGGATGTGTTAGGAAAATGAAAGTTTATACAAATGTATGTGCATGTTTCCTAGTTAATGTAAGGTAAAGACTGATTGTTGTTTTTTTATTTATTTTTATTTTATTCACATGGATTTTTGAGCATTGGAGCATTTGAGCAACTGATTGTTGTTGTTTGCTCTTGTGCCCAGGCCGGGTAACGCTGTCGTCGGTGACGTGCTTGTGCTGACCAAACCTCTCGGCACGCAGGTGGCAGTCAACGCTCACCAGTGGTTGGACGAGGTACGTGTTGTACACATGTAGTGATGCATACCTAAACCCAACTTCAGGTTCAGGTCCGGATTAAAGTCCAGAGGTTTAGGTTCAGTTCCGGACTTGTAAGTCCGGACCTGAACCCATGGCATATACAAAATTGCAAGTTGCCAACCTTGCAATGTTGTCTGGGTGAAACTTTGGCCACATAACATGGAGGCCGGTACTTGACGATGCCCGATGGCAATGTTTTCTTCCTTTTGCAGCAAAGATTTTACAATCTACGGAAGGTTTTAGGTGGTTTGGAAAGAAAAAGGGTATGTGAAATGATCTTTTACCGGACTTGGTTCTTGACTTTTAGTTTTTTTTGGACTTGAACCTTAACATTCTTACAAGTCCGGATCCAAGTCCAGTGAACCGGTATGCAGCACTATACACGTTTTACCCTTTCATGCCAAGGACACTCCTATAAGCAAAATAATGCAGACTTAAGGTAGCAATAGCCTGAGGTTATGCCTCACAAAGTGTCTGGTTTTGCTGAATGTTTTCAGGACTCTCCCAGGTAAAGACAACAGACTTCTTCTACCCGCTAGTGGATGACCCCTACATGCAGGTACGGTGTCTGAGACAAGGATGTGGTCAAAACAGGCTCCTTTGTACCGTAAAACTGGCAAGGCGTAACATACCAGTCTTGTATGTTGTTGTTGTACCTATGATGATACTCATGCACCACACTGAACGGTTGGTTGAAGAACTCCAACACCACACCACAGAATCTGAGGTACATCTATTGGTTTTTGAGTCAGCAGTACCAGGTTTACGCAAAAAAAAAAGGTTACTCAGGGAAGTGGATATGATTTTGGAAACGGTCAGACGTTTCAGATAGGATCCAATAGCTTTCGTCAGTAACACTAGAGACTGTAGGGCTTCTCCTGCAGTCTCTAGTGTCACTGACGAAAGGTAGTGGATGCTACCTGAAATGTCTGAACATTTCCAAAATCATGTCCAGTTGCTTGAGTACCTGGATGTCTAACCTTCACTGAAGTACCAGGTTTAGTTTCAAGAGGGAAAAGAAATCTAAAGAGAATATTTCGTACTTTCCAGCCTGAGAGGTGGAACCGGATTCGTCTGGTTGTGTCAGAAGAGGACGTGGAGAGAGCGTACCAGGAGGCCATGTTCCTCATGTCCAGGCTCAACAGGACAGGTGAGAGACAGGGCTGTGTAACATGCATTGTAAAACTGTTAGTTCCGGGTATGGACCGGGTCACCCAAACATCACCTGGTACCTGTACATGAAACACCAAACTAAAACACTAGTTGATACCACTTTAAGACTTTCTTAAAAATGGCAACTCACCACAATCAAAACAGCTAGCTTTGTTTTTAAGTTACAAATGATTGGCCTGTTCAGGTCCTGCTGTAATACACATCACACTTCTAGAAACCTTCACACCAAATGTGCCAGCTCTAGCTTTGTCCCAGATGATGAGAGTTTCCTTCCTGACAAACCAGTGGAGGTAAAACTGATTTAATGAGCCTGATGGGACTTTGTAGATGTATGATACTGTCAAGAAAAACACCTACTAGTAGCCTCCTGTGCAGGCACATTCTTTTGCCGGCAAAAGAACGCATTAAAAATTCTACACAACGCAGTATCAAAACTCCCACCTGCCCGGTAGCCTGCACAGGAGGCTAAAACTTAAAGAAACACCAGAATCTTCGAGACATGTGTGACATTATCTACCCTTCCCATTCCACAGCTGCGAAACTGATGCACAAGTACAACGCACACGGCGCGACGGACATCACGGGATTCGGGCTGCTGGGTCACGCCAAGAACCTGGTTCAGCACCAGAAGAACGAGGTCTCCTTCACCATCCACAACCTCCCCGTCATCGCCAAGATGGCAGCCGTCGCCAAGGCCTGTGGGAACATGTTCCAGCTTCTACAGGGGTACTCTGCCGAAACATCAGGTGAGTGTAGATGTTCATGCATAGTTCTCACTAGGCGATTTGAGTGAATCTTCTGTACCTGGCCCCTACACTGATAAAATCCTTGTGAGAGCCCTGACATGTTCTAGCTTCTACAGGGGTACTCTGCCGAAACATCAGGTGGGGACATGTACATGTTCTTACTGTTAAAACTTTAGACCCAACACAAAGAAATTCTCTCATCTAGAGCTTTCGACCAGTCACTCTGGTCTTCCTCAGTAGACTGATCCAGTGAGACTTGTCACTGGCTTCTCTGAAGTGTGACGTCAACACTGGATCAAAGACATCTTTTAGACCATGTTGGCCCCTGTCGCAGTTGAGTGAAGGGTGATGGGCCCTAATCTAAATACTAGTAGCCTCTTTCACCCCTCTCAGAAAATAGTCATGTTCATACTGGTTTGGATAAATTGCCAGTACCTGTGATGACACTCATGCACCACACTGATCAGTTGGTTGAATGAGAACTCTCACCACACCCAATTGTCTGAGGTACTATTCATTGCAATTTGATTGAATGCTTTCACACACATTTTTCAAAATTTCCCCTGGCCCTGGTTTTTGCTTATAAAAGTCAAGAAGTGCTTGATGTTCAGGAGGTGTAGCAGGCCAGAATATACCCCTTGCCAGAATATACTGGGGTACATTTTGGCCTGCTACACCTGTAACATAAGCAGATGCTGCTACAATGTACTTACCTGACAAACAGTACAGTGATACAGTACAGTCACAGCCTCCCAGGCTGAATTTATGTTGTAAACTACAGTATGTGGCTCCAGATGTCTTACTGAGGAACTGAAATGTGCTAGCCTAGATGTGACTTAGCTTGAAGAATGAATCCACTTTACTATATACCGTACAGTGATAGATATCGGGTATAATGTGTTGATACTATTACTAATAGACCACCATGTCTCTTCCCCCAGGAGGATTGTTGATCTGCCTTCCCCGTGAGCAGGCCGCGTCGTTCTGCAAAGACATCGAGGGAGAAGACAAGCTACAGTCCTGGATCATCGGCATCGTGGAGAAGGGCAACCGGAAGGCTCGAATCATCGACAAACCTAGAGTCATCGAAGTCACCCCAAAGATAGCGTAGAGTCTGTAGTTTTATCCACGTAAGCAAGGAAAGGGAGCTATGATCATGGGAGGAAAGAACTTGTAAGAGGAGGAAAACTAGAGTCATCGAAGTCACCCCAAAGATAGCGTAGACTTTGTACTAGTTTTATCCGCGTAAGCAAGGAAAAGGGAGCTATGGTTAGCCTCCACCAGACTCCTTTGCAGGCTGAATAAATAGTAGAAATCGGCTAAGGGGGACATCATTGGCCTGCATGGAAAGCTGGACCCTCTATGGCCGGCCAACTCCTCTGGCCAATGATGTCCCCCTTAGCCGATTTCTACTATTTATTCAGCCTGCAAAGGAGTCTGGTGGAGACTACTACTAAGCTATGATCATGGGAGGAAAGAATTGTTAAGGGGAGGAAAGATACCGGTTAGCGTGAGGAAAGTCTGCCAGTGATCAGCAGTCTATTTTTGTAGGAGCTCAGCCTCAGGTGTACTTAATTTTACATGTTGCTGTACCACAGTGCACCTTTTTAGTAGTACAGATAGAAGGATCGATGTTAGGCTCACTTCTGTTATAAGACTCGTGATACTGGCTAAATGTGCAACCTACCCTCGCATGGCACGCATGCATACAGAGCTAGGCATTCCATAAAATTACTGAAGGTTGTATGCCCATGTAAGAGCTAGGTGTCTGTTAGAAGTTGTAAGTAACCAAGTTTTCCTAGTAACACAGTCATGTATGTTTTACTACAATTGTAGTAGTAGTAGTAGCAGGAGTAGAGAAAACGTATACCACTGCACGTAACGCAGTCGCCATGCAGACTACTGTATCTTCACCATAGCTGTTTCTTGCTTGGGGATGAGCAGCCCCAATAGGAACAGCTTGGACACAGAAACATGAGGTCGTTGGACATTCCTGTCCCCCCTGCTGACTATTTTAATGAAACCGGCCTCTAGAACCACCTAACAGTGGAGGGGGTTGGTGGATGATGCAATAGACAGTGGGGCAGACAGGCTGTTCAACACAATATGGCCACAATCGCTCTGGTACTACTGTATGTACTTGTATAAGCTGTAATTCGTTCCACCACTTTTAGATGTTATACGTACGTGTAATTGTCCAGTTACTAACGAACCGACAATAAAAGAAAGACTTTTGAACACCTGACTTTTTATTTTCTTCCTTACTATTTTCCTCTTCAGACATTGAAGTGTTCTGGAGGATCTCAAAATAGATTAATGAAAAGAAATACAGTAAAATACAGTCTGAATACAGACCACAAGTACGCATGTACAAAATAGAGAAGTTTATTTACAAGCTACTGAGTGTGTAACCAGGTCTTCAACATGGTGTGTCATCTACTATCATGAAGTCCATCTGTGTTGGTAGTTAGATGTTAAGAGTTAAAACTTTTGATCCAACACAAAAGTTCTCTCACCTAGAGCTTTCGACCAGACTGGGTCAGTCTACTGAGGAAGACCAGAGCGACTGGTGAAAGCTGTAGGTGAGAGAACTTTGTGTTTGATCAAAAGTTTTAACTCAACAGTATGTCCTCTATTCGTGGTCCTGTGGCGGGATGCTCTCGATCAGCCTGAGGATGGCGTCAGCTGTAGGCTCATAGTAAACCTCAGCCTTGTCTCCTATGCCTGCAGATGAAGTGAAAACATAAACTGTAAAAACGTGGATGGTGAAGATTAGTGCAACTTGATAATTGACAATTGTTAATTAAAATACAGGTTCTGGCCTGGGTGCCATCCTCTGTAGTCCATGATAGCTAGCTACTATAGAGAGACGGCGGTTAGGAAGGATGGCACGGAACTCGAACTTGATGTACAGTGCTGGCTTGTCGTATAAGTCGCTATGTACTACAGTAACCACAAATTCACAATACCAGCTTTGTATGTATTCCTGTGGTTAAGCAGCAATTTTGGGGGGCTGTAATTTTTTTTATTTGCCCTCCTGCACTGCTTTGGGGGACTTCAGAGGATGTCATTCATAAAATTAATTCAGTGTGGCCGAGTGAACATTAAAATATAGTGAATAAGTGGGTTTACATACCTTCTACCAGTGAGACGGGTTCTGAGAAGAGCTTGGCCTTGGGAGCCGTCCTGATGTGTCTGGCAGTGATACAGCCCATGGACTCCAGCATCTGGAAAACAACAAGACATTCTCACCATACAACTGTGTCTAAACATGACTAATTCATTTTCATTTACATCTGATTTACAGTGTTCAGAAAAAAAAAATGGACAAAACATGTAGGGGCCTGTTCCATGGGCTATTTCCAGCACTGTGGCATAACGTACTGCACCTGGGCGAAACCCGTAATGTATTGTGCATAGCACTTGGGCAGAACGCCTCATAAAAACTCATATAAGGTCATATTCACATATACAATGTATGAGATGTCGGAAAAGATATCGTCTGCAACAGGCAGAATTCTAATCCAATGTAGACCAAACATCCAATGAAAACCGTCAAAAATTAGGCGCAGGTGCAGTATGTTCTGCAGACATGCTGTTATTTCCTCACCTGCAGCAGCTGCAGTGCCGCCATCCCAGGCATGACAGTGTGGATCTACCGCAGCACGGCAGCCTGTGAGATGCCTGATAACCAGGCTAACAGTACCAGTATTTCCTCACCTGTAGTAGCTGCAGCACAGCCTGATAACCAGGCTATCAGTATTTTCTCACCTGCAGTAGCTGCAGTAGGAGCCTGATAACCAGGCTACCAGTATTTTCTCACCTGCAGTAGCTGCAGTAGGAGCCTGATAACTAGGCTACCAGTATTTTCTCACCTGTAGTAGCTGCAGCACAGCCTGATAACTAGGCTACCAGTATTTTCTCACCTGCAGTAGCTGCAGTAGGAGCCTGATAACCAGGCTACCAGTATTTTCTCATCTGCAGTAGCTGCAGTGCAGCTGTAGGAGTCTGATAACCAGGCTAACAGTATTTCCTCACCTGCAGCAGCTGCAGTGCAGCCTGATTACCAGGCTATCAGTATTTCCTTACCTGCAGTACCTGCGGTGCAGCTGTAGGAGTCTGATAACCAGGCTACCAGTATTTCCTCACCTGCAGCAGCTGCAGTGCAGCCATCCCAGGCATGACAGTGTGGATCTGCCGCAGCACCACAGCCTGTGAGCTGCCTGATAACCAGGCTACCAGTATTTCTGCAACTGTAGGAGCCTGGATAACCAGGCTACCAGTATTTCCTTACCTGCAGTAGCTGCAGTGCCGCCATCCCAGGCATGACAGTGTGGATCTGCTGCAGCACCGCAGCCTTTGAGAGGCCTGATAACCAGCCTACAGTATTTCCTCACCTGCAGTAGCTGCAGTGCCGCCATCCCAGGCATGACAGTGTGGATCTGCCGCAGCACCGCAGCCTGCGAGATCCCAGGTTTCTGCAGGATCAGCAGCAGCAGGCCCTGCAGCATGTTCTGCAGTACTCTCCCGTTCACGGACCCGTCCACAGCACGCCACGGCCGGCTCAGGAACGCTACAGGCTCGTACACACTGTAAGCAGGAATAGGGGAGCATGCCTTACAAGATTATCTAGACTATGCATGATGTACAAAATGACTTATAAACTGGTGGACTTATAAAGAACTTAGTATCTGATACCAGCCCGGAAAATAACAAGAAACAGTCATGCCTTCAAATATCCACAGTTATCAATCCAGAATTATCAACCAAGAATTGAGATGTTCAAAAACTGATAGCAGACACGCTTTAGTAACAATGTACACGGTGCAACATGAAGTTACATTTTGATGCAACACTGTAAGGTATAGGTCAAGTGGCCAAAAGATCACACACAACTACTGCCCTCAAATTGGACTTACATCTGTACCTGTGCCTTTAAAATAACATCACAATCATCTTAAGTTATCACATGTGGCAAGGTCCTGTGTTTGGGGAGAGCCACACCCCACACACGTAAAAGAACCCACCACACCTTTCGAAAAAGAGTGGGGGCATGCCCCAGCGTGCGATGGTCCAAATACTACTGTCTGATGATTCACTTCGGAGGCCAAGAACAGTAGTATGAAATTCACACAAATGGAGATCCCAAACAAACAAACACTATTGTCCAAATACATTGTATGATGCTTTACCCATATTTGGATGCCTGCATCTGGACGTGTAGTTCTGAATCTGATCTGTCCCTCCTCCTCCCTGGAGTCGGTGTCTTGGCCACACGGGGTCTTAACTTCCTTTCTTCTGTACTTCCTTCTTTGCCATCTTTCTCAGCAGGCGAGACGTCTGCATCCTTGGTCATATCTGCATCTTCAGTGTCTGGAAGGGACTTGTTGGTGGAGTCTTCTTGCGGTGGTTGGTCTGGTTTTCTCTGTCCGTCTCCTTTCAAGATTCAAGATGGTTTGATTGTTTTTTTTTTGCAGTTAGAAACTGAATTGTAAACCAATTTACAATTACAGTTACAATTACAAGTAAACCAAAACATTGACATATTAAACAATAAGTGCAAAATTAACAGACCAATAAAAATAAAGGTTTTAGACAATATAATTTTTCAGGACTACATTTGATACAAATCTCTGTACTAATGAGACAGCAGTCAGGGTTTCAGTCCATAGTTATTGAGTAGCTGACGCATGAACGGTATGGGCGAGCTCTTCCTCAACATTTTTCAATTTCCCTTCTGCGTATGATTGTTGAATAATGACATGTTAATATTTGTACAAGTATACAAAATATCAATTTTGTTATTTATGAGCAAAACATTTTAGAATATAATCACCAATTGATTTTAAAATGTCTGGAATTTTATATTGACTGATTGTACCCGCCTTCCGTCTGTTATAATCCATGTGATAAGAATTTTCTATTATGTTGTCACTATGAGTCTTAGATGATATTGAATTGTTAAAGAACCACAATTCAGCCTACAAAATGTATGTAAGGCTGCCAGTTTTTTTATTCTCAATAAACCATTTTAACATTATTTGTACCTTCAGAAGGCTCCCCAGTATGTGATGTTGCTCTAGCTGACTGCGGTGTGTGTGTAACATGCAGAACTGTGTCCACCACGTCCCTCGAGGTTCCCGGTCGCGACGTCGCGTCCGTCTGCGGGCTGGTTGCCATGGTTGCCAACCGTGACGAGTGCATGAACCACGGCCCACAATGCTCGGCGGTCACCAGTCGCGGCTCGTGGATCCCAACTTCTATGCACTACAAAATGGAATCAAATTCATTTCAGGGAATTTATTCAACCTCAATGTAAGACTAGAAAGGTAACATTTATAAAGCAAATGCATAATGCTTATCTTTGTATATGGTCTCCTCTGTTAATTTGTAACTCAAACAAACTCCTATATATATGGTAAGACAGGAGTCTAAATCCCTCCTGCTATAAAATTGCAACATGATGCAACCCAACACCAGTTACCAAGGTGAGAGACGTCAACAAATCAGGTCATTGGCCAGGTCAGAGGTCAGTGTACGGAATGGAAGAAGAGGAAACGGTAAACATATTATCACTGTTGCCTCACACCAGTACATCAACAGAAGAAAAGTTCCTTGCATAGTCTTACCATTTCAAATCTGAGCAGCATATGGATATGGTCATCTGTACGGAGCTTGGAACCTTCTTGCACTGCATTCTGAAACATGGACTGCACAGACAGAACAAAGAACATTGTCCAGATTATACAAAATGTTTAAAATGGACTTAATACATGTATATGGATGCCATATAGACATTAATTGCTGGTGTGTTACACTGAAGGGCAGTTATACCGGCTATACAGATACAGAGACTGGTGTGTTAGGCCGAAGGGCGGTTATACCGGCTATACAGGTACAGAAGCTGGTGTGTTAGGCCGAAGGGCGGTTATACCGGCTATACAGGTACAGAAGCTGGTGTGTTACAGATAAAGATTTACATTAAACTTCAAAGCTTAAGGCAAAGCAGTTAGAAATCTTCACCTGTACGTCTAGGAGGCGAACCCCCAGTCCCTCTCCAGACTCGATGTAGTCGTAGATGTCCCTGAGCCTCTGTACATCCGGCTCTGAGTACTGGAAGTCCTGTCTGCAGAGGGAGACAAACTCTGGCCAGGGCAGCGCGTTGTTGGCAGGGTCCTGGCCACTCGCTGAAGGGTCGGTCAGAAGGAAGTTGGGCAGGGACATGGGAGCAGGGCTGCTGTCTTGGAGATGGTCTTCATTGTGAGCTAGAGAGAGAGAATGGTTTATTAAAAAAATAAACACCTTCGCAGCACCAGTGCTGAATTGCAGCTTTTGTAATCAAAAGTCCCTTTTAAAAACTGTTTGACTACTTCACAGACTTCAGGTGGGCTGGGTGGCCGCTGTTTCCCTGATCTACAAAATGAACATGTCCACATGCCCACCAGACCTGAAAAAGTTGCTTCCCCAACCATACACAATCAGACGCACAACCCGCAGGAGTCTCTCTACTGCAAAACATCCCTCACTGTGCCGGTCTCTAGAACTCACGCCATTGGCAGAACTTTCATACATAATGCAGTTCATATCTGGAACAGTCTTCCAGACAACGTGGTCGGCCTGATCACTGACAACAACCTCCAGTCATTTAAAACAAGAGTACACCGGCATCTTCTTTCCACCACCAGGACTTCTGCATGTAGCTAGAACTTTGCAACTTTGCTGTAAACCAATGATTAGCCAGGAGTGTCACAATCCAGGCTATTGTTTACATTAGCACATGATAGAAAAAAAAAAGTTCCGTACTGTTTCTGTGCTCCTCCCTGTGGAACAGTCTGCGCGGCAGCCTCATGTTGATGGTACAGGAGTTAATGACGATGTTGTCCGTTGGTTCCAGGTTGCGCAGGCTGAGAATCGCAGGTGCAGTACCGCTCCGAGCCGCTAGGACCTTGGTCCGCGACGACCGAGTTGCAAGAGGGAGACTTACAGCACCTGAGCAATGTGAAGTATACCAAGAAATACCATGATCAGTTGATTAGATTGAAGAATATTCGAATTCAAAAATAAATGTACTTAGTATCCTATCATGTCAATGTGAGTAGTAACATTATGGAAACTACTTTGAAGCTCTCAATATTTGACTTACTCATTCAAAATTGAGAAGCCTACACTATGCTACAATATGAACTATCATACAGGGGAACTCGTTGCCATCAAGCAAAGCTTCTAACAACTCCTGCAATAACATGACTGTGTAAAGGTCGTTCGGTGTGATATAGCTAGCTGCCGCCGTGCTGCATGCCTGCAAAGCTGGTGTGTTACACCGAAGGGCGGTTATACAGATACAGAAGTCCTTTTGACCAGGATTCATATAGCAAAGGGCTCCTGCATATGATATGAGGCTGGGAAACCCTAAGTACCTGTGTTGGAATTTTCCGTGTCCCCTTCGGAATCCGATCCTTCCTTGTTGGTGTTCTTCCTGGCTTCCTTCGCAGGGGTTTCCATGGAGCTGTCAATCACCACAATGTTCTCTGGGATGTCCACTGTGTACGACAGCTACAAGCAAGAAAAAGGTTGTTTTAAAGTGATATTATTCAAAATAATTGAATTTTTCTCATCTAGATTGTCATTTTCAATAACATTCAACATATTAGCATCGCTATTTCACTTCTCTGGCGAATAAGTTGTACCAGACCCGCTCTATTTTTAGGAGGCTCCTAAAAAGAATGTAAACAAACAGCGGTTTTTTTTCGGCAGTTCCCAACACGTTTTTGCGGTGCAATGGCATTATTACCCCAGGTAGGCTTTTAGCGCAAGAAAATGTGTAAAATAACGATTTCAACCCCCCCAACACACTGCCTCTACAGCCTTAAAAAGGCAACGGCACTACCTTTTTCAGAAGATTTTCAGAGGGATTTTTTCCTGTACCTGATTTGTTGCAAGGAGTGAGAAGACACAGGCGGTCTGTCCCCCCGCCCCCTCGCTGGGGAACTCCACCCCCTGCTGCTCACCCCCCTCCCCCTGCGCCCCCTGGTCCTCAGCCCCCCTGGCTCTGTCCTGCTTGAGTCTGGTGAGCAGCTGGTGTGCCTCAGGAAACACACTGCTGGGGATGGCCTGCTGGAACGGGCGCTCCGCTCTAGAGGGGGAAACAGGTGGTTACGATAATATTTTACTGCAAATTCCATGTCCATGGGATAATTGCAGTCTCCACCAGACTCCTTTGCAGGCTGAATGAATAGTAGAAATCGCCCAGGGGAGTTAGCCAGCCATAGAGGGCCTGCTAATTCCCTTGGCCAGTAACATTCTATTTGGGTTAATTTCTACTATTTATTCAGCCTGCAAAGGTGGAGAGGAGGACAATTGCAAAATGACACAAGTTATGATATACATGTACGTCAAGTGAGTGAGTGCATGTGTAAGACAAATAGTGAGGACACTATTAACAGGTACACTACAAAAAGTTCTTGCATCTGTTCTCCGCAGACATTTAATAACTTTGACTACATATTAATGTGGCAACATTTGATGTAACTACAGCTGACATTATCTTTATTACATTGTATATTATAAGTCAGTATTACAAATACCATTGTTGTCTTACTTACATTGCTGACAGCTTATACCCTATTGCAGCCATGGGAACAGCACGGACCTTGGACTTAGGTGCAATCTGTGTGGGATTGAAACACACAGACATGTGAAGAGTCACTCTCATTAAAAAAGTTTCACCAAAGAATTTAAAAATGGTACATACTGCTTCAAAGCATAGCACTCAGCACTCACTTCAGAATGAGAATTGGAGTTATATACACAAAAAGTGAACTAGCTTGCTGCTGTATTATTTTCTGTTCTGTAAAACTGTGTTGCCTGAGGGCTGCGAAATGGAGATGGGTACTGCCCTATGTGTACCATATGGTGTTAGTAAAGATTTTCATTTTTGCTTTGACCCAGTGTTGACTCACACTTCAAAGAAGCCACGTGACAAGCTTGACTAGGTCAGTCTACTGAGGAAGACCAGAGTGACTGGTCAAAAGCTCTCTCTAGGTGACCGAACTTTATTGTGTTGGATCTAAAGTTTTTAACTTAAACTTTCATTTTTTTTGTTCATCTACTGTTAGCCTCCAAAGCAGGCTTATAGAACTGGGGGTTTGGTGGTCTTTGGCTGTTTTCTGATCAGCCCAATTCTAAAAACGGGGGTAATTCAACCAGGCCGGCTATGTTGTCTATATGCAATCAGAAAATAGCACATAAAAGCTCCCAAAGACCCTGAAGACCCCCAAAACCCCCAGTTTTTGGCATGCTATGGAGGCTAACCTACTGTACTATATGACTAACAGTAATTTACCCCTTTGCTCTGGTTGACCAGTCCTTGTTTCTTCATGGACAGAAAGGCCCTCTCCAGAACAGTGTTGGGATACTTGTTGAACAGCTTGTAGGCCAGGAAGGCAAACCTGGTCTTGTCACTTTCCGATGCACCCAGGCAGTTCTGCAGGGAAAAGATCAGTTATTAGCCCCCTCTGGCAGAACATACAGGAACTGCAGCATGAATAAAGACTTACCTTGTCTGATTACAATATGTCTGTCAACTTGTAACACAGTAAAACGAAAGATCCCAAAAACTTTGCAAGCACAAAATCAGTTATTTGTGTTCTCTTCCATACAGGGCTCGAAATACTGGGTGCATGTGCACCTTAGCAATCAAATTTGGAGCTGTGCACCCAATTTTGTTCTGTGTTAAATGTATAGTAACATATTCTTTAACATCAGTGTCAGAAAAATAATAAATTATCATAGTACTTTTCTTTAGAAATGAAGCATAATTAGTTTTGCTGGCATTCTACTTATCTTATTCTATATGGTGCACCCCAAAAAACTTTTTGTGCACCCAATTTTTTACGTTAATTGGGTGCACCAGTGTACCTATTCCCAAAAATATGTTTTGATCACTTGTTACTAACACATGTGCAACCTGCTAATAAATCCAGTAACAGAGCTATGCAGTAAGAAAGAAGCCTGACCCAGATGAAGTTGCGGAGTACTTGCAGGTGAATGTCCTCTATACAGCTGACAGTTTTGGGTGGGAGGTTGTGAGGATGGTGGCTGACTGTCATGATCTGGTACTTGGACAGGAGCTCCTCCATGGTGTCTGGTAACTCCTCCATTGTTCCAGGCATGGCCCTGATCAACACACAACACAAACAGTTGGGCTTGGGACGGACCATAGAATTGATGGGGGTAATAACAAAAGAATTGTCCACTCAGCAGTGACTGAGCAGAGTTACAATGTAGTGAAATTTCACTATCTACTCTACTGAATAACATCCTTTGTTTTCTTACATGTACCTGCAATAAACATTTTTTGTTGCAAATTTCCCATAACTTACCATGCTCAGAAAACCATGTAGACATGACCTTAGTGCTGAATGTTTGGTGTAGGCATCCAATGCAGCTTGGAGAGTTATGTCCTCTATAGCTCCAGGCATGGCCCTAGTCATTTTCAACATTTGAAAATTCAACTTCCCATAACTTACTACACTAAACTATTGCTTGGTTAGACCTGTCCTTGGTGCTGAATGTTTGGTGCTGAATGTTTGGTGCAGCCATCCACTCACTCACTGTCCGGTTTATTGTCTGTTGTTCTCCATCTTCCGAGGGTTCCTTTTTAATTGCAATGCAGACTGCAATGTTCTTCATTATGTATCTATAAGCATCCTAGGATATATGTACACACAGACACACACGCACGACACACACATACACACACACACACACACAGACTCACACACACTCACACTTACACATTTGCATATTGAACTACATTGTATGTTTGCTGACAGTTCTGACCTGAACTTCTCCTGTAGCCTGCCCACCACAATCCTGTACTCCTCTTCACACACCTTTGGGTCTGTGTAGTCTTCCTTCATAGAACTGATCCAGGACATGAACTCCTGTGGGGGACCAATTTTGTCATTATAATTTCTATATAAAACTAAACATTCTATCAGGAACTGAATTGGGAGGCCTACATGTACCTCTGATATATACCTCAGAATAATGGTTAGGCCACACCAATTTGATTTGTTGGTTCTCGGATTTTTTCAGAAAAAATATGAAGCGACAGGGCGAAAAAAAATAAAAATAAAAACAGGTCTAGGCATCCTATTATAGGCTTAAATGCTATGGAATGAGCCATGAAGTAAACGCAAAAGGCTGGGTTAAAATTTAAACATTGAATTTTGAACTTTTAATCAAACCACTGCAATGATAGATGGGAAAACTGTAACAACTAGGAAGAAAAGAACTTTCCTCAACTGTTGGGGGCAAAACATAAGCATTTTTCAGTTGATTCAGGACCAGAATCAAATTTTTTTTTTTTTTGCAAATCAGAAAAAAACGAAGAGGCGAATCCGAGAACCAACAAATTGAATTGGTGTGGCCTTATGTGTTTTCAAATTGCAGTTTCACAAAAAAAATCCAACTCAAAAATATCCAACTTACATCACATATTTATAAAGTGTGAATAAGGTTGCATGTCTGTAATCGTAACTCTCGCTAGATTACGTTTTGAAGCGATTGGTCATTCATTATCCTGAAGAAGGCGGTGGTCGTTGTAAATTTGATCTCTGTATAATCCTTATGTTGGAATAAAGTTTAACGTTTTACTATGATTACTACCAACACAGATGAACTTTCATGATAACCTGAAACTATGTCGTGACCCTGACCTTGTCCTGATGCACCTCTGCCAGGCAGATTTTGAAGTTCAAGGCTGTCTGTGAGTTCTTCATGATGTAAGTCGACCGGCGGGCAACAGCAAAAGTTGTCTTGTCCTCAGAGGCCTAAGGTGGGTACAGTCATGCATGCATAAGACATAGGGTAATTCCCAAGAAGAGGGGTCAATATTTAATGATACATACATGAAAAATAATTCAGAAAACTGATATGCTGCATACTATCCATAGCATTGTTAGTTGGGCAACCCTGGCATGGCATGCTGAACCAATAAAAGAAAGCAACCTAAAAATACAGTAGTTCCACTATAACTGTACATGTAGAGGGTAGAGAAATTACCATTCAAATTCTACCATTGAAATTCTATACTCCAGTTCTCTTTTACAAGTGGAGGGTTGGGGATCATCTATCATTTTATTTGCTGTTCTGACAGCCTTGGACTTTGAGTAAAGAGACTCTTTTTACACAACCAAGTGTTTCATTCAGCCAACGTTTCAGTGGCTGTCTGTTACCTTCCTCGGGGCAATTCTGACTGGTTCACATTGCACTGCAGCACAGGTGTCGCTGCTATAGATGCATTCCCAAATGTACAGTGACAGATGATCACTGAAACGTTGGCTGAATTAAAGGCTTGGTTGTGTAAGCAGAGTCTCTTTACTCAGTGATATACCAAGTTACTGATGAAACTATTCACGCAGCCTTGGACTATGTTGAACAGGCTTTGAAGTGTACATCACTACTGACACATTATTCTATGGATCTTAGCTGACTTACCTGAAAGGTATCATGTAGAAGGTCTCTCACCACCATCCAGGGTACAAACGATTGTTGCACCTTCTTGTTCAGAAGTGCTGAGGCCACTCTGCACCGCAGAATCTGACATGGAAAAAGTAACAAACAATTCAGTACCACAGACAGCTGCTAGGGGGCTCCCAGTTGAACTGCCAACAACAAGCCATATGTCAAGTATCATAAAGATCCATCCACAACGTTTTGAGATACACTGTCCATAAACAATTATTCAGTTCCACACAACTTTTCCACTATCAGGACTGGTACGGATTGTTTTGGGTGTCTGTCTGTCTGTTCAAATAGCTTCTGTTGTGAGGTGAGTGGGAAGTGATTTTGACAGTTGATTGACATGGGCCACACCTGAAGGTGACCCAGCATGTCCCCTGTGGAAGGAAGTGGGTGGTACATGTATGTATCTACTTAAATTACGTTATACATACAACTGTCAAGGCCTGGGAAGTGGAAGGTCATGGAAGACCCAAACTCTTCTTAGAAGTCTCTAATCTCATGTTTGTGGTTGTGTGAAGACCAACAGAGGGAGGAGCTGTGGAAGGCCACGAAGGAGGTGGGGTGACGATGTCTGTGACTGGATGGGCATGCCACTGGCAGAGTGTTCTCACAGGGCCAGAGACAGGAGGGAGTGCAGGAGGCCAGTGATACTGGATGCTACCATAGTCCCCGACCCTCAGACATGACGATGGGACTGGGTAAAGGTAGGTAAAATAAAAGACTGTGTGAACTCTACCCACCAAGCTATCCTCCTGTGGAGTCCAGGACACTCTCTGTCTCTTCATCCTGCTCAGGGCTGCCTTGTCTCGGGTGTCGTGGTACTTCTCTTTCTTGTGGTCTGAAAATGAGGCAGGAAAAAAGGTTGTGAATACATTACATGTACTACCAGAGAAGAGACGGTTACTTAACATTCTCCCTGCTGTGGTAACCTTTTGGCTCCAAAGCTGCAATATTTACCATAGTCAATGCTATTACCAGGCTATACATGATGCACAAAATGACTAATAAACTGGTGGATGTACCAAATACTACATGTAAGTACCTAATACCAGCTCAGAAAAGAACGAGAAATAGTCATGCCTTCAAGTACCAGAGTTATCAACAAAGGTTTGAGGTGTTTAAAAGCGGTTGTTTTTGTTGCTGTAGAGTCTTGGAGAATTTTCTTATGACCAATTTCTTGTGAATTTTCTTATGGGACCATCCTCTTACCTTTCTTCCTTGGTGGGCCATCTGAAGACAAGGAGGCCTTTCTCTTCCTAGCTTTAGATGGCTTGGGTGCTGAGAGGGGGGATAGAAACTTGGTCACTGGAACAATGACAATAAGATTTTGCTCAAATTTTCAAGAAATATGTAGTTCTGTAGCAGACTGGTTTAATACATTGTAGTTCTTAGCAAAAGATATACATGCCTCCTGGCAGCCATGGAGGACTGAATATGTTTTTAAAGACAATTTTTTCAAGACAATCAGGGTGAAATTTACCTTCCTGTTTCTTCTCCCTCTTCCTTTTCTGTCCCCTGCCTCCCTTGACCTTCTTGTTTCTATCTTTGGTGGAATCCTGGACTTTTGTCACCTAGAAAATAAAAGATAGAAGTACTTTTTATTATTCAGGTAGTCTCAGTACCACAGTCATACGATAACACTGCAACATTGATGAATTAACTTTTTACATCATAAAAATGTGGGTTGCATTCTCAAAACAAAGCTGATACCAGACTAGTATATCAGGATATCAGAGTTATGACAAAATCATCAAATGAAGGTACAACAACTGGGATCGTCTGAAGCTAGGATCTTGAAGCTAATATATATGTCAGGAGTCGAACCTTGACCAATTGCTGTTTGGCTTTTCTAGGTGAGCTCTCTTCTGCACTTGACGACTGGGTCTCTGATAGAAGGGGAAAAAGAGAAGCATGAAAATTTAATGAGACATTCTAAACTTCTACATAACTTTCCAAGGTCATAATTTTCTAGGCACATGTCTAAAAATTGATCTCTACAAACTTCAAAGAGTGTCATGACGAAAAATGTCTAATGAATCATAATACCACTATAAAAACTCCAAATGTCTGCCACCCTTACTTTTCTCAGGACTTTTGAACGGGGCGTCTCTTGGGTTTCCTGGGACTGACCCCCCCAGGATACAGGCTGAGGCCTGAGGCCGCTGACCGGTCAACATGCTGGCCAGGGTACTCTCTAACTAACCTTCCCCCTGCTGCCTAACCCCATAACCAGTGCAAAATTGTTTCCAAATGGCTATCTTAGCAGGCTGGAGGTTAAAAATCCTACCAGTATATGTCTACTTGTCTAGCTATTTCCAAAGACCATGAATTGTTCAATTCCACGACAGTAAAAATGACCACTTTTGGTAGTGAAATCCACGGCCGTGGAGGGACTTAGTCATGGTCTTTGGATATACCCGTGTCAGCCTTACTTTTCTCAGGACTTTTGAATGGCATCTTGATGATGTAGACCTGTTTGGGCAGTCTCTTGGGTTTCCTGGGACTGACCCCTCCTGGGTACAAGCTAAGGCCTGAGGCTGCTGACCGGTCTGCATGCTGGCCAGGGTACTCTCTAACTAACCTTCCCCCTGCTGCCTAACCCCATAACCAGTGCAAAATTGTTTCCAAATGGCTAGCTGGAGGTTAAAAATCCTATCAGTATGAGTAGTACTACTTGTCTAGTCTCCTCATGTCTGTCTGTCACCCTTGCGACAGTTTGTGTGGAGCAAATGTGTTATATGTATCACGTGTATTTACTAGTATGTAAACCCTGCATCAATTCAGCACTATTAAAGGCTGCAATTGCACAGGTAATGTTTGACCAATAAACCCTTTATGTGCTTACTTTTCTCTGGACTTTTGAAGGGCATCTTGATGATGTAGACCTGTTTGGGCAGTCTCTTGGGTTTCCTGGGACTGACCCCTCCTGGGTACAGGCTAAGTCCCGAGGCTGATGACCGGTCGGCTGGCTGGCCGGGGTACTCTCGGCCGTGGGTCATTGGGGGCAGCTTCCAGTTTCTCTTCAAGTGACTAGAAACAAAAAAGTCTTTATCATAGACAGTGTCACAAATTTACCATATTGTTGACAATGTCTAGAGTTAGATGTTCAAGGGTTAGGTGTAACAAGTTGTTCGGTGTAATGTAGCCAGCTGCCGCCGCGCCGCGTGCCTGCAAAGCTGGAAGGGCAAAATTGTCAGTTTAACTCACATTCTACTAGCCCCTGGGTCACTATAGCAGCAAATCCAAGGAAATGTACAAATATGTACGTCACAAATCATAATATAAAAATTCATAATTGATACTTTCCTGATCTGAAGAAGGCAGAGGGCACATATACTGCAAATTCATATAAGCCTGAAGCAGTTGGATTTTGGGAAATCAAGTCTTAGAGTATGTATAATAGCACTGGGTCACTATAACAGCAAACCAAAGAAAAATCTGGACCAATATGTAAGTCACAAATTGTAATATAAAGATTCCCATTGTTAGTTTCCTGACCTGAAGAAGACCGAGTCCAGCCCTCCTGCCCCCTTCCCGTCCCCGGGGATGTGTCCGTCATCTACAATCTCCTCCTCTGGGTTTGCGAACTGCAGGAGTTTAGCACGGGACACCCACGTCTCTAACCCGGTGTGACCCCGCGGTGCAGACGGCTCTCTCAGCCGGATGGCACCTGGGAAAAGGTTCATAACAAGGAGAACATGCAGGTGAGTTTTTCTTTCCAAACCACCTAAAACCTACCATAGATTGCAAAATCTGTGCTGCAAAATGAAGAAAACATTGCTAACGGGCATTGTCAAGTGTCAGCCTCCATGTTATGTGGCCAAAGTTTTGCCCTAACAACATTGCAAGGCTGCCAACATGCAATTTTTTATATGCCATGGGTTTAGGTGAACCTAAACCTCTGGATTTGAATCCAGATCTGAACCTAAATGTGGGTTTAGGTGCACAGCACTAGCTATGCACAGTATATCATGGGTTTCGCAGGTGCAGTACGTTCTGCTGACATGCTTACCCAATGGAGTGTTGAGACAGATACACTCCAGAGCACACCAGTAGGACTCCACCTCCCTCTCTGACGTGAACTTGTATCTCCTCAGTACAAACTCCTTATCACTTCTCACGATGAAGTAACCAGGGCTGGACGTGGTGGTGTCCACGATACTCGCATTCTTGTTCAGGTATATGAACAGCTACAGAAGAGAAACATAGCAAGTAACATCCGTGTCCATAATATCACCAGGGTCCATAATATCACCACCTTGACAAATAGTGTGCTTAAAGATATTTTTTACTGCAACATACTTTTGGTATGCACTCCTGCACACCTCAAATGTACATACCTAGGGTATGTTGCAGTAAAAATATCTTTAAGCACACTTTTTCTCAAGGTGGCAATATTATGGACTATGGTGATATTATGGACACAGATGTTATATGTAGAAGTAACGGTAAGTGTTTTTTTACCTCCCATCTTTGGTAACTATTTAAGAGGAAAGTGACCAATGCACGAATTAACCTTGCAGACACTTTAACTTGTTCCTTAACCCTTGTCCTGCTGGCATTCCTGGCACAATATTTTTCAATAATTTCATGTCTTAATTAGATCATAGACCCCCAAATTATTTTGGACTGCAGTTGGCGTTAGGAAGAGCATCCAGCTGTAAAAATGCTGCTTAAAAAAAAGACTTATACTTGGTGCAAGCACGTCTAACCCCCAGTTGGGGAAAAATGACGTTAAATTTGGTTTAAAAAAAAAAAAAGTGGCATAGTTACTTCCGCATTTGTTGCGTTTCGCTGCAATGTGATGCGTTGCATGAGAAATACCCCCAAAATCGTACCTATACAGGGTGCTATATAGATGGTACTGTATGTGCCAAGCGACATATGTTGCGCACAGCAGGACAAGGGTTAAAAATCCCATTGTGAACATGTACAGTTTCACAGTTTTGAAACTATGCTGAAATGGTCCTGAAACAGGACAGTAACTACCAACATCTAATGCTAACATTGCATGGAAAGTCTTTTTTTAAGCCACTCAAATTAATTTTTTTAAGGTTTAAAGTATAGTGCTGCATTGAAATTTCAGTCACAGACTGAGTCCTCTCATCTTTCCATTGAATAAATATCCAAGATGTAGTGTTAGACTTTGTCCCTGTGTGTTTGTCCCTGTTTTTACCTGATCCTTTTCCTTGTGTCCACGAGGCCCGATCTTCACCAGCCCCATAGCAGACAGCCGCTCCACTAACTCATGGAAGGAGTACAGGTACTTCCTAAGGGGAAACATGACATTGTATTTTTTGTAAGCTTATTGCATAGTCATGCCCAACTGGGGCATTCGTAAAGATTAAGGCAATGTGAAATAATGGATTTCCATGCATTTGTTAGATCCTTTGCTATACATGTAATGACAACTTTATTGCTCAGCTCAAGAATTTTAAAGATTACAATGTATGACAAACTCTACTACATGCACTTAACAAGAATTCTATAGGGAAACAATGCTGTAAATGTTGATGAAATATGTCCACCTCTTGTGTAGTAGCTGATGCCTCATCCTGTTGGGAAGGTGTCTGACAAGTGTGTACTTCTTCTCTGGGTCATCTAAATAGTCCTTCATATTATCCACCTTAGAAAACAAGCCACATTGTAGACATTAACAGACATACAGTAGAACAAACCCCTGGCTTTGACAACTCAGCCATCCCAAACAATACTTCTACACCCAGAACAAAAATGAATACAGCAACTAGAAAGGTAACATTTGCAAAGCAAATGCATAATGTTTACCTTCACATATGGTCTGCTCTGTCAATTCTTACTCAAACACATTCACATATATGATGACAGGGGTCTAAATCCCTCCTGCTATAAAATTGCAACATGACGTAACCCAACACTAGTTACCAAGGTAACAGACGGCTGGTTCAGGTCATTGACCTTATTGTTTTGGAGAAGAAGTCTTTAGAGGTAGAAGAGGAAGAAACTGAGGAAAAACAATATGTTTTCCTTTGGTAAACACTATCCGTCCCAAACAATACTTCTGCACCCAGACACAAAAATGAATACAGCAAGAAAGAGCAGGCAAAAACACATGATTGTACAATGTATATGATATTTCCCTTACCTCACATGGTACCTTGATGATCTGACAGAACAGACTGAGTGGGACGACACAGAGAGCATCACTGACCAGCACCCAGCCCGGCCCGTAGTTCCCGTGTACAGGGACAGAGGGGATGTACCGCTACCAGGACAGCTCATCCATGTACACGGGGTGCTGTACATGTGTGGGGGGACTGTCAGGTTTGGGGTCTGTGGAAAAACAACAAGAAATGTAATTGAGGTCAAGGAAGTACATCGTGCTATGGCCCGTAGTTCCCGTGTACAGGGACAGAGGGGATGTACCGCTTCCAGGACAGCTCATCCATGTACACGGGGTGCTGTACATGTGTGGGGGGACTGTCAGGTTTTGAGGCTTGAGAAAAATAACAAGAAATGCAATATTGAGGTCAGGGAAGTACATCATGCTATGGTCCGTAGTTCCCGTGTACAGGGACGGGGGGGATGTACCACTTCCAGGACAGCTCATTCATGTACACGGGGTGCTGGGTGGGGGGACTGTCAGGTTTGGGGTCTGTGGAAAAAACAACAAAAAATGTAATTGAGGTCAAGGAAGTACATCATGCTATGGCCCGTAGTTCCCGTGTACAGGGACAGAGGGGATGTACCGCTTCCAGGACAGCTCATCCATGTACACGGGGTGCTGTACATGTGTGGGGGGACTGTCAGGTTTTGAGGCTTGAGAAAAATAACAAGAAATACAATATTGAGGTCAAGGAAGTACATCATGCTATGGTCCGTAGTTCCCGTGTACAGGGACAGGGGGGATGTACCGCTTCTAGGACAGCTCATTCATGTACACGGGGTGCTGTACATGTGTGGGGGGACTGTCAGGTTTGGGGTCTGTGGAAAAACAACAAGAAATGTAATTGAGGTCAAGGAAGTACATCATGCTATGGTCCGTAGTTCCCGTGTACAGGGACGGGGGGATGTACCACTTCCAGGACAGCTCATTCATGTACACGGGGTGCTGGGTGGGGGGACTGTCAGATTTGGGAGCTGTGGGGAAAAAAAGGGAAATATGATTGAGCTCAAGCTTAAGGAATTATATTGTGCTTTGGATTCTGAAATAAATTATTGTTTGTAACTCTTACACTTAGTTTAACACTGTTTAAGAATGGCTATGCAGTTACTGTATCTCTCAAAAACATGAATTAAGAAATCTGTTAAACAATACAAGACTGACAGGCAAAACATATTGCCAATGTAATAGAGATCTATAATAAATAAATAATAAATTTACCTTCAATATACTTTTACTTTTAGATCTTCTAGCCTGCCATATGGAGAGACTACATGTATATTCATTGTGCTCAGCTTTCATCATTACGTACGTAGTCTTGCAACAAAATTTAAGGTTAGAACTTAGAATAGTCCATGTACATGTACACATGTATATATAGAATACAACACGGGGTATTCCGTATCGCCCGAGGTATCGGCCCGACCGCGACTCGCGGGAGGGCCGGGACCGAGGGCGATGCGGAATACACCGTGTTGTATTTTATTTATGTCATACCCACCCAAGAAAACGCGCCTTTCAATGCAAGATGAGCCAAAAGTTGGTGCCACTAAACCCTAAAATGCAACAACATCAATTCCAACGTCCGGATTATGTATTCGAATTTTCGAAAGGGGTGCAAGCGGGTAGGGCGAAACGCGTTCGAATCGTTTTATGGAAGCGTTCGATAACGGGTTCCGGACCGGGCCGTACCGTAAAGTACGGCCCGGTCTGGAACCCGTTATCGAACGTTATCGCGGCCAGAGTATGATATAAATGGACTTACCTGACTGGTTGAGTGCACTGACATCTTTTGAAGGATCATCCCTTGATTCTGTTATCCCTTCCTTTGGTACCACATCTTCCTGGTCATCAGTCGTGTTGATCTGTGGAACTGCCCCAACCTCTGTCTTCTTATCAACATCTGCAGTAACCTGGGCTTGAGCCTGCGCTGATGTTGATGTTGTTTTTGTTGTTGTTGATGTTTTGTCCTGAGACTGCATGACTATAGCACTAGAGTCTGACTGAGAGGGACCTGTGTGAACGTTGGCTAAGTACCACAGGAACTGGTGCGCCAGCTTCAGGCGAGCAAGTTTGGGCTGGAAGTTGTACACACCAGCATGTTGCTGCAGGGAGAGGGACAAAAACATGTGCTGTGAAAATTTGATCCCTGTACAATTGTGTGTTGGAATAAAGTTCAACCTTTTACTATGTGCTGTGATATATGCTATGAATGAAAGAATGGATTTTATTGCACAACAGTTGTACATAGTGCAATGTATGGCAGTATATCATAGGGCTAACATTTGCAAGCAAATGTTAGATATCTTCACACTATTCTATAAGTGCCCGGTACATTTGCTTTCAGCTGCCAGATTAGTCCAGGTCATTAATGGACCTGATATCCTGTAAGAATATTAAGAACATCTACAACAGAGGACCCACTGACGTTTAAGATCCCACAACACTTATCAAAAAGAGTAGGGGACCTTCCCGATGTGAGTTGTTCCAACCTAAGAGTCTGGTCTTACACAGCTTGTACTTACATGTACAAAACTGGTGTGTTACGCCTAAAGGCAGTTTACCAGTTGTGCAAAACAAACAAACAAAATAGGAAAACCTCTTACCGAGATAGGTTTGTATGTTATGTCATCTTCTATCTTCTGTAAGTCTGACTCTAATGCTATAGATGGCTTCGGCAGGTTCTCCTTCTCCTGGATCAAGGGGAAAACAAGTTAACATTTGGGCTGTACATACAGCTCCACCTAGCCAAGGAAACAGGTACTGCAGCTGTGACTTTGCTAAGTTTAACTTCAGTTGCTTTCACAAGTTTGTCATTACTGAAAAAAGGTAGACTTGCAACATTCCTTGTTATCTAATACCTTTGCTAATGCAGTTATGCTGAATAGAAAGGGGCAAACTTTCAGTTAGTCTTCCTTTGCCGCACATAGCTAAAATGCTTAAGGAATAAAGTAAATACATGTACTTGCAGTACTAAATTCTGCAGTATGTTTAAGTTGTTTATCCAGGCATGCACTTTTGAAAAAAATAGACAATCATAAATAAGTATGTTCCAAACTGGAAATATCAAGGACTGTTACAGACACAGCAAAGGGAATCAGAAGTTCTAACAGAAGTTGCATTGATGTTACAATAGCTTGTTAGTTGATCTGACAACATATTATTAAACATTGTATCAGCCACACAGTGATTTACATAAAGGCAGAAAAGAGTGAAATTTATGTAGCACTAATGGGGATCCTAAGAAAACGTACAAACAAACATGAATGTCACACCTTCTTTTCTGGCGGGAGCTTCCCTCGGACCATCTTGAATTTGATCTGTTCGATGGCACTCCTCACCATCCCGTCAGTGGGGGAGACATTGGGCTCTACATAGAACACCACCTAGCAAAGAAAACAAGTACTGCAGCTAAGACTTTTGTGTGAGTTGTGCAGGGAGTGTCATTTTCTCTTTTGATTTATCCATACATAAAACAGACTGTCTGTTACCATGATAGGTTACCTCATGTTGCAATTTTATAGCAGGAGGGATTTAGACTCCTGTCTGACCATATATATGAAGGTGTTTGAGTAAACATTAAACATTAACATTATGCATTTGCTTTGCAAATGTTACCTTACTAGTATACATCATGCTTTTTTGCTTAACCATAATGACATAATTAAAAAATCGGCTGATCTTGCATCTGGACATACCGGTTTTTCCATGCCATCTTGGATGACGATTGTCTTGATAACTTTCACTTGTCCACCAGAGATCATTTCGTGAAGAAGTCTGGAAGAAGAAAACATATTATAAGATTTGCTGTCAAGCACTTAAACACAGTGTGTATCAACAAAATCTCAAAACATGCCAGAAGATAGCCAGGTTTTCAGGAATATATATGTCTACATCTTTGTGAACTATGATTGTTCAGAATTCATAGCAGGAGCATCAGTTAATCAACATGTACCTCATGACACTCTTCTTGTCCAGCACACCACAAAAGTCTTCTTCTTTTTCTTCGGATGCTCGGATGGCCTAGAAGAATATTATGCCATGTCAGCATTTACTGCATTAATTTTTTTGTATCATCACTAATATAACAACTCACATTAAAATGAAATGTAGTTTAAAAAGAAGAGTAGTTCATTGAAACAGTCCTTCCTTTCTCCCATCCATCAATCTATTGATCCATCTTTCCATCCATCCGCCCGCCCGCCCGTCCATCCATCCATCCATCCATCCATCCATCCATCCATCCATCCATCCATCCATCCATCCATCCATCCATCCATCCATCCATCCATCCATCCATCCATCCATCCACAGATACAGACACACACACACACACATTCACCAACCCACCCATTCACTTTCAAATCTAACACAACTTTCCAGATGAAGGTAAGACTTAACATATTTAGACCCTTACCTTTACAAATGGAAAAGCTCCATGGACAACTTTTGTCGCTTTCAGAACCTCCAGGATGATGTTGGTGCGTCTGAGCCTACGATAAGTCTGGATTTTTTGATAACTCCTTTTTGGAGTAACATCTGAAAACAACATCAATAACGCTAACATGTAAAATATTATCTTTATTCAATTATCAATGTGTTAAAAGACCCTGCATGTGATTACACTCAGGAATTTTTGTGAAGCAAAAGAATATCCTGAACTCTGATTTTTCATGTTTTTTGTTAGATGTTTGGTCAACGTCGCATCAGAATATTGCCTGTTGCAAACGATATCTTTTCCAACACAACATTTGGAAACTACAGATGGGAATACAACCTTATATGAGACGTTCTGTCAAAGTGCTATGCACAATAAATTACGGGTTTTGCGCAAGTGCAGTACGTTCTGCCAAAGTGCTATGCACCATACGTTTGGGCAATGTGCTGATTATACCATACTGCACCTTGACTAGCAGCTATATTGGCAGGTTTCCCCTCCTCAGTGGTGTCTGTAGTCTTGTCTGTACTGGAACTTGTAGTAGGGGATGGTACAGACACATCAGCAGTGGTGGCAGGGGTGGTACTCACTGTAGCTGCTTACATGGCAAAAGAAAGAACATAGCAGGTGATTCGTAAAAGGGCACCGACACAGATGGTATCACAATTCATTGATTGTATATGAGAAGGATTACTAAAAATATAGTTATCTAAATATATAAATAAAACAAAACAAGCGGTAATATAAAGGTGATCTAAGATGCCTTACTTCTTAGAAAAGTATTGGTAGATTAAGATGCCAATAGTCCTAAAATGATAAAAACTTCATTGTCTAAAATGTGTTTTTGATACCTGTTTTGTCCCCTTGTTTGTTGCCCCTTTTTGTGAGTCGGTTGTTCTTCAACTGTTCCACCTCCAACTGTTTCTGGAGTTGATTCTGGTCCAGCAGGCTCTTGGCTACATATCTGCACCCAAAATCAGCAACTTGAAAGTGTAACCTTCTCCCTGCTGCCCAACAACTCACTCACTCACTCACTAATAACAGATAACCAATGGTGAAACGGTAGCCAACCAGCTACTTTAGTGTACTAAAGTTAAAATGCAACATGCCCCTCTGTATGTAAAAGTAATTTCCTTACAGTTACAGTCTTAGTATTCTGTAACTGTCTAAATATAGACAAGGGTACTCCCCACAAAAATCATGGCCATTCTTTATCTAGTTTTAGTATGTCTGATAGAAAAGACAAGATGGTGATCACAACACTTCAAAAATTAATATGGCAGCACTCATGCAGGCCAATGTCGTAAACAAAAAACAAACAAACAAACAAACAAACAGACAGACAAACTGTCGGGATAGGGTGACAGGACGCGGCTGACCTTGACATCCTGACCTTGCCCCTGTCCTCCATGATCTCCACGGCGATGCCTGACCACTGCATGCTGCGACACAAGCCGCGTGCCTCGTACCTGCCTAGTCTCATCGCCACACGTAAGTCCTGCAAAATACATGTACATGTAAGCACCGATGGTTGGAGATTCAAATGTTTTCATGCTGGGACACAAGCCGCGAGCCTTGTACCTGCCTAGTCTCATGGCTACTCGTAAGTCCTGCAAAATACATGTAAGGTTTTCATGCTGCGACACAAGCCGCGCGCCTCGTACCTGCCTAGTCTCATGGCTACACGTAAGTCCTGGAAAATACATGTAAGGTTTTCATGCTGCGACACAAGCCGCGCGCCTCGTACCTGCCTAGTCTCATCACCACACGTAAGTCCTGGAAAATACATGTAAGGTTTTCATGCTGCGACACAAGCCGCGCGCCTCGTACCTGCCTAGTCTCATGGCTACACGTAAGTCCTGGAAAATACATGTAAGGTTTTCATGCTGTGACACAAGCCGCGCGCCTCGTACCTGCCTAGTCTCATCACCACACGTAAGTCCTGGAAATTTATAGTTGGTCAAGAGATTCAAATGTTTACACACAAAAATCTATGTCTTTGGCACGTCGGCAGAATGTACTGCACCTTCGCAAAACCCGTAATGTATTGTGCATAGCACTTTGGCAGAACGTCTCATATAAGGTTGTATTCGCGTATATAAGGTTAACATAGCTGTAGCTTCCAAATGTTGTGTTGTAAAAAATATTGTCTGGGAAAATTCTGGTGCAACGTTAACCAAATATCCAAGGAAAACCGTGAAAAATGGGAGTTTTGTGCAAGCACAGTACGTTCTGCCGATGTGCTTGCATCTTTAGTTGTTATTCTTAAGGGAGTCGGACTGTATTATAATAATATCTTGCGTGGGGAGGACCAGTCATCCCAATTTATACATTTTTCTAAGGCCCTCCCCTCAGGCCAAAAATATTTTGCTAGGCCTCCCCTGGACGTCTTGTCTCTGGGTTGACAATCTTGTCAATCCTTTCACAAATTATGTTATGTCAATCCTTTGACAAATCTCAATAAATAACTGCTCTCACATGTTGAGTGATCCCCAGGGGTCCTCTGCTGTACATGAAGTCATACGCCTGGTTCAGGAACGGTCGCTCAAACACCACAGGGTACGGGGGAATTGTCTGCTCCGGGTCTACAGGGGCAAGAGTGGGGCAAACATTAGCTGTACAATAGACAATCCTAAGAATTCTAAGAAATGCAAAATACAATATCATTAAAATCATTTCAATACTTAGAAGACATGTTCTATCTTTCACTTTAAGGTATAAGCTACAAGAAGGTTATGTTTTCAGTAGTGCTTGTGTTCATATAGCATAACTCAAGAAGATATCATCATATGGAGAGAGAGAGAGAGAGAGAGAGAGAGAGAGAGAACGAGAGAGAAAGAGAGAGAGAAAGAGAGAGAGGGATGGATTGTTTTGAAATTTCGTAAGTGGTTAAAACCTTGACAAAGAAATGAACGTTTTTTGGGCCCCTAGCAACTTTTCCTGGTACTGCAAGCTGCAGAGCAAACATCCTATAGAATAAGTACAAAGAAAACCCTTGATGACAAGCCATAAGGAGACCAAACTCACCGTCAATATCTTCCTCACCCCCTTCCTCATCTTCCTCCACTGTATGGACCAGTTTGAGACAGCGGATGACTTTCCTAACTCTGTTGTTGCTCAGTATCCTGGGGTCGTTTGGATCAGGGTAGATGTCTTTGGTGGGCACCAGGAGTCCCTTCACCTTCCCCTGAATCTCTAGGGCCTGGTAAATTTTCTTAAAGGCGTTCATCGACAAGTCCTAGAAGAAAGATGGAATGCCGACAATAAACACAATATGTCAGCCAAGTTCTTGGAAACTGCAGTAAGTAATCCAACCTAGTAACTAGAAAGGCCAAGCAAACGCATAATTTTACCTTCGCATATGGCCTGCTCTGTTAATTCTTACTCAAACACATTCATACATAATGGCCAGACAGGAGTCTAAACCCCTCCTGCTATAAAATTGCAACATGATGTAACCCAACGCTAGTTACCATGGTGACAGACATCTGGTTCAGGTCATTGACCTTATTGGTTTGGAGAAGAAGAGGAAGAAGAAACAGAGCAAAAACAACATGTCTTCCTTCAGTAAACATAACAAGAAGAAAGCAGCTGCATTTCACAAGAACTCAAAATCAAGCAGGCTCCGGCCATGAGGCTTCCTAAAAAATTACCATCTCCTCCCTGAGGTCTGTGAGGACAGCCATCTTCATCGAGACTGTTCTAACTAATTAAACCCAGTAACAAGAAGAAAGCAGCTACATCAACAGGAACATAAAATCTCCACCGCTGAGGCGTCGCCAAAAATTACCATCTCCTCCCTGAGGTCTGTAAGAACAGCCATCTTGTCCGGCCTGTTCTCTAACAGCTGGATGAGTTGGAAACTGTACTAAGCTGTTTTTTTTCTAATTTACTTCATAGGTCAACAGTGACTCATCACAAAACAAGGCTCATGAGAGTAATAAGAAGAAAGCGGCTACATTAACAAGAACACAAAATCAAGACATTGCCAAAAATTACCATCTCCTCCCTGAGGTCTGTGAGGACAGCCATCTTGTCCGGCCTGTTCTCTAACAGCTGGATGAGTTGGTCCATCATAACCCCGTTCCTGCTGCGGCGCGTCGCGTGGAAGCGTTTCAGCAGCAGCAGCACCGAGTTCCGCGGCCGGGCGCCGCCGGGGGTGGTGTAGGAGTAAGCCTGGGGAAATAAAAATATGGGAAATTTACACTTTCGTTGGCAATTCAAAGTTGCATATAACATAATATTTGTGGTGGAATTTGAGGAAGACTAAACCTCAGAGTAGCGAGTTCTGTTGCCGGGCGCCTCTGGGGGTGGTGTAGGAGTAAGCCTGGGGAAAGGAAAACGTCAGACATTTTGTCATTTTAGTCATGAAAGATGCTTAAACTAGCTAGGACATGATAATCGTAGGCTTTCAAGTGGAATTTGCCCACCAACCAATCAAATAACCAAGAAAGCAACTCAACCATCAACTAACCTTTGCATGAAAGTTCATCTGTGTTGGTATACTTCATTATGACAAAAAGGCTAAACGTTCTGTCCAACACATAGGTTATCTGACACGTACGACCTTTGCTGCAACCACGTGTTTCCGATGTCACGTCCCGGAAGCTGCAGTATACATGTCCATTCCGTGAACAAGGCTGACGGAGTAAACTGAAAATTTGGGTAAGTCCTAATTTACTTAGTGTTGGACAGAATGTTAAGCCTTTTTGTCATAACATTGACTGACCTGTCTAGTGATAAGGTCGTACTGCAGCAGCCCCTTCCTGACATGGAACAGGTACTTGGGGTCCGCCCCAAACGCAATCTTGATGTCCTGCTGTACCTGAAACAAACAGGAGCAAGTAGAAACAGGAAAACGTAGCCTCCATAGCATGCCAAAAACTGGGGGTTTGGGGTACGTCTTCATAGTCTTTGGGAGCTTTTATGTGCTATTTTCTGATTGCATATAGACAACAAAGCTGGCCTGGCTGAATTACCCCGGTTTTTGAACTGGGCTAATCAAAAAACAGCCGAAGATCACCAAACCCCAGTTCCACTATCATTCTCTCCCATAGCTTAATCAGCCGTCGGGGCAGCATGATGTTTGGCCAAGGTCTTCCACTGCTGGCGGTCCTCCGCCAGTCCACCAGTTAATCTATACTTTGGGACAGTTGAAATTTACTTTTGGGACAGTGCTGGGACAATTGGAAGAAAAGTTCATTTCGAGGCCTGTGTTACATACCTCCCCCTGGTGTCTGGCCCTGCCCAGCCTCTCCAGAATGCAGTACTGGATGTCTGTCACCTCCACGTCAGGTAACACACCCTCGTGGAACAGGGAACGCTCTCGACGGGGCTGGGACGCTACCAGCACCAACCTGCTGTTCCACCTAAAACATAATACGGTTAATCTTAGGCCTAGGGAAAAAAATGTTGTGTTTCCTGTTTCACTCCTGAAAAAATACACCCATTCACCTTTCACAGATCGCATAAAATGCTTACGTCACAAGGGGACATTTTGAATAGAACACCGTTTTAGAACCATCAGTTTCTGTCCCTTGTGTTGTCTCCCCTGGCAGATATCTCGACGTTAGCCTGATTAAATCGCTTACGGTTGCCGGCCGCCCAACATCTAGCCAGCCCCCGAAAAGAGGGGCCAGTAAAGCCGCGGACAGCAGAGTTTGTGTTATCCTGACGTCGGTAACTTCAGTAACTTTACTTTCTGAAAGTTCCTGACCTGCGCTGGTACAATGAGTCTAAAGCTTATCGATACTTCCACTGAAAGATGGCTGATCTTCTTTCCTTCCACCCGAATATCATTACCTAGTATATCGGACTGAAATATTTACTATGATTGTAAGAAAAATGTGTGAATTTTTGTGAAGATGATTAATTGTGTTGTGATACCTCTCTACTGCATCAGCCAAGGTACATCGTAGTTCTCTGTCCTCAGTTCGAATCTCGTCTGTAATATTTCTCCTGTCCTTGTAGGTGGCACAGGAACCCTTCTCTCCAAGGTCGGACTTCGTTACCATGGCAACAGGGTAAACATCAGCTGTTTCCACAGCCTGAATTATACAAACAAGATTGCAAGATGTAAATTTGCATGATAGATAGGTGTCACTTCTACAAGATGCATTCTAAGGATCAAGAGTTAAAGAACTTTCCCACATCAAGTGACGCATAGGGCAGGGTCTGGGCCAGTAGTGCAATGACAGAAGGGGGCTAGTCCACTGGTAGTGGTGTGTTTAAGTTTAACTCCCATACTCTTTCCCAAATGCGGAGTGCTAAGCATAGAAAGCAGATTAAGACATTCATGTTTGCACATGCTGGTGTAGGCATAACATATTAACAAGGGGGCCTGCAAGAGGGGGGGGGGGTCCCGACAATGCTCTACGCTGAATTCGGAAACTTCTCGATTACGCTTTGCGATAAATTCCAAGTGGCCACAACACATTACGTAGAATTAATACAGCGAATACGCTCTACGCAAAATGTGCCAGTTATGCTCTACGTTGAATAAGAGCGGCCCGTCTACGCTCTACGTAGAATTAAAACGGTCAATCACGCTCTACGGAAAAGGGCTGGCGGGCCCCCTAACAACAGTGCAGCACCGTAGCAAACTACCAGGTGGAGGTAATTTTTTTCACTAACCTCAGAGTCAGATTTGACGTCGTCCCCCGTGTCTTCATCCCTGTCCCTGATGACGAGATTTGGGCGCGGCTCTGGGAGTTCGTAGATCTGAACGGAGGGACTCGTGGCCAGACATTCCCAGATGAAGGGCTTGGTGAAGTCATCCAGCTTCATACGCAGAGTAGGCTGTCTTCTTTCCAACCTCAACCACAAGGCTGGGATGGTGATGCCTGGAAATTATAACAGCAACCTTAACACCGTCTCCCAGCTCCGTCTCCTGCATCTTCACCATCTTGGCGTACATCTGTAGTACAACTCCCCTGATACATTTATCTGTCTAACGGGCCAAAAATTTCTACTTTCAGCCACTTCTAGAGCCAGGTACTACATGTACAAAATGTATGTGGTATACTACAATTATGTATGAGGTAGCGGCACAGAAATATAGGTAACTGTTAACGTTTATGTCTTCTTTGCACAAGATAATTATCACCTTACCATCAAGTCCTTCGAGCGCAACTTCATCTAGACAGTCTTCAAGAATGTCCATGGTGTGTAGAGGCCCTTTTCTGTCTTTTTATTGCGATGTAGATCGGAAGAACGTGGCACAATCTCTATCCAAACTTTCCGAAATTTAAGTTACCGCCATCTTTCCTTCCGCAGTGACCTTTCACCTTTAGAATGTTACACTCCTTTTGGGGGGTGAGGATTTGATAATGCAAATATCAATCAAATTTGACTTTATCTATTGATCAATATGAAAGCAATATTTGCTACATTTCCACTCCTAATTTCTTAAAAGAATGAGCTTTTGAAGACATAACGTAATGTACTTATACCCCCTAGTAGAAGTGGTTTAGACCGCCTAATGACACTAATCAACAGCGCCACTACGTGAGAGGCTGTGGTACTGCAGCCCTGTGCTTGACATACATTAAAATCTTACATCTGTACATATGCCACATAGGCTAGCTAACTATAGCACTGACGTTGCTGACAATTCGTCTCTCTGACTTATCTTCCCGCCATTTTTTTTCCGGGAATTCTCTGATCACTTAGTAAAGAGTGTCTTTTTTTTACACAACCAAGTCTTTTATTCAGCCGACATTTCGGCGACACCTGTGCTGCAATGTGAACCAGTCAGAATTGCCCTTAGGAAGGCGACAGGCGGTCATCGAAACTTCAGCTAAATAATAAGACTTGGTTGTGTAAAAAGAGTGTCTTTACGTGTGACTTTCTAGCCAATTCTAGCTTGTCATTACATTCCTACTCATATTTTCTTTGCTGTTCGTTGTCACTAGTCTGTGTTAATTTTATTTCTTGAATATCAAGATTATATTATAAAAACATAAACACAGTTCACCACAGCATGGAATCCACCTTATTTTATTTACATGACATATACATATGACAACAAATCACTCTTCTACCTACAAAAATATAAACTTTACCATGTGCACATAAGACTGTGATTGGAAAAACAGGTATTTAAACATCTCTTATTTTCCATTTGTGCAAGTAACAAGTTATAACTATTCTTGATTTCATTGTATCAATTTTACACCAGCATGTTATTTTATTTGCAACAGACGTCCTCTCAACTAGGATAGATTAGGTCTCTAACATATATCACCATTTTCAATTTAACCATACATTTTGATGCCATCAAAGCTGACATGTTATATTGCCTACATGTACGGCACAAAAAGCAATGATAACAGTTTATTGGTAAAGATATCAGTTACGATTGCCAAGTCTATACATGCAGTGTTCCTCAAAACATGAACAAACAACTCTTACATTGTGCTAGAACTTATAATTCCTTACATTTCTCTGAACTTTATACAGAAAACATCTCAGATTAGAGTTTATACCATTCTTTACATCATTCTCTATAATAATTCAAAAATATGCTTGGTCCAATGTGGAATGAGAAGTGAGTAGACTGAGTGACAAAATCAGTGTTGACAATATCAAATCTACCAACAATAGAACCATTTACTGACAATGCCTATACAATACAATAGTTACCAAAACACATGCAATATCAAATAATCCGTGAATAGTTTCATCAGGTTGGTAAGTTACTGAGTAAAGAGACTCTTTTTACACAACCAAGTGTTTTATTCACAGTTGACATTTCGGTGACCTTCTGTCACCTTCCTCAGCTAGGGCAATTCTGACTGGTTCACATTTTACGTTTGGGAATGCATCTATAGCAGCGACACCTGTGCTGCAGTGCAATATGAACCAGTCAGAATTGCCTTGACGAAGGTGAATAAACACTTAGTTGTGTAAAAAGAGTATCTTTACTTATTTTCAACCAATTCTATATTCATGTGAACCAAACAACAAAAGTGTGAGTCATTCTGCAGAGCATCTGCCGAGTGAAAAGATGATTGACACCTGTCCATCACTCGTCGGTCGCCTTGCGGCAGAATGGACAGTAGCCCTTCTGTAGTACCAGCAACTCATAGTCATCTAGATGGAACAACTGTGGAGACAACATAGGCAATCTGTCAAATCACACACTCGCCAGAAAACTGAAGAAAACCTCTACAAAACATCAACTTCAATTGTTTATCATTGCAAATTACAAGTTTGTAATGGCTTATGCATGTATGGACTCCAGGAAGACTAGTGATGTACTATAAATGAACTGAACTTTGTAGGGACTTCATTTAGAGGTGGATCAAGGGGAAAGGGGGTCTTTTGCAATTGAAATAGTGTCTGACAGATCAACACATTGGCAGAATGTACTGCGCCTGTATAAAACTTGTAATATCAGAGCTCGAAATACCCGGTGGCGCACTGGCGCGGCGCCACCTGATTTTGCTTGGCGCGACTTAACGCGACTTATTCCTAAACTCAGGTGGCGCAGCGCGCCACCTATAATTTACGGTAGGGACGTCACTGCTGCGACACCGCCCCTTCCCCAGCTGCTACATGTAACATTATCCTTGCGCAAACGAAGAACATAGCGCACGTAACGCCACCCGCATAAGTGTGCCGCCATGTAGAGGCGTGGCATTCCCACGGCGGCAGCCCTGTGATGTTGCTGCCGCGGAAAATTCAATTAACTATCCGCCAATCACTGCGAGTCGGCGAGCGTTTAGTCAGTCACTAAACAGTCAGTCACTAGTCAGTAAACGTGAATCATCACGTTTACAAAAGCTCTGAGTTTCCCCGCTCTGTTCATCTATGAATATGATTGTATTCTGCTGGTTTGTGAATTAAACATATGTTCCTCCAAAACTTGATTCTTGGTTGTTCCGTTTTTTGGTCATGATTTGAAGTCTGGCTTTGAAAAGACTTTGCCGCAGGGCAAATAGTATATTTACTTAAATGTTTTTATCCCTTTTATATACGTAGGAAAGGCCCTTGCTGCAAGCAGTACAACGAATGGAGCAAGCGGAGATGTCAAAAATGGAAACATTATTCAGATCAGCTTTCTATCTTGCCAAAAATGGTAGGCCTTTTGCTGACTTTAAAGGCTTGATGGAGCTTCAGAAGTGCAACGGCCTTTGCACAATAGGTCAAACATACCTCAATGACAAACATGCAAAAACTTTTGCTATGTATATACATGAAACCATGTTGGAGGATCTGAAGAATGTTGTAGACAGTGCAAGTTTCTTCTCTGTTCTGTCAGATGGCAGCACAGACAATGCAGATGTTCAGGAAGAAATTGTGTATGTACAAGTACTTGAAGATTTCAGAGCAGTAACAAAATTTGTGGCATTGAAACCAATCCACAAAGCTGATGCGGAATCCATCACTGCTGTTGTAGTAGAAGCACTCGAGAAAGACTTGGGGCAAACAGAGTGGCGGAAGAAACTTGTGGCTGCAGGTGTGGATGGTGCAAACGTCATGTTAGGTCATGTATCAGGCGTTGTCACCAGGTTGAAGAACGAATCTGTAGGTAAGCAAGTGATTGGCATTCATTGTTCTGGACATAAGCTTGAACTTGCCTATAAGAATACTTTAAATGATGTTCCATACTTCAAGCATGTTTCTGAAACCCTCCAAATCATCTACAAGTTCTACAAGAACAGTCCATTGAATCTGTCCAGCTACAGGGCCACGGGTGAAGTACTGGACTGTCCTGCACTCAAGCCTGTGAGCACTGTGGGTACACGGTGGATCGGGCATACTGAGAGAGCTCTAGATGTAGTAAACAGAAGTTACCAGGCTCTGATCACACATCTGGAACAAGTGGCCGAAGGTAGAGCAACTGCAGACAGCAAGGCCAAGGCCAAGGGGATCTTGCAGACAATTAAGTCTGCAAAGTTTGTGATGTTCCTCAAGCTCTTGTTGTACATAATGAAGTACCTGTCGTCTCTAAGCAGTTGCTTCCAGCAACGTGATGTCACATTGGAAATGGTGACTACAAAAGTGGAGGCTGTAAAGGCAAAGATGAAGGAGCTTAGTGAGAACAAGCACAAGCTGAAGGAGAAGATGTTACAAGACATCGAGACTGATGGGGATCAGCGACCGACAAAATACAAAACCATCAGTCTCACACAGACACACGGAAGGGGAAGGGGACGGGGACAAGAAGAGCGTGTTATGGACGTGGCAGAGTCTGTTCTGTCATCTGTTATATTTCATCTGGACGGTAGATTCAAAGACACACTACTCAACAACCCAGTCCTACATGCAGCTATGGTATTTGACCCCACACAGTGGCCACCAGCTGGTGAGGAATTGGACAGCTATGGAGAAGAAGAAGTATCCACTTTCTTTGCTCACTACAGAGAAGCCCTTGAGGAAAAAGGACACTCTCTGGAAGACTGTCTCCTGCAGTGGTGTGAGTTAAAGAGGGTGGTGAAGAGAAAGTTGGCCTCTGGACATACCAAGTACCAAGACCTGTGGCAAGAAGTTATGAGGGACCACATGGATTCGGACAGGTTCAAGGACATCTTGATGCTTGTGCAGATAGTCCTGCTCTTCCCACTATCAACTGCAGAGTGCGAAAGAGGCTTTAGTCTTATGAAACTGATCAAGTCTGACTGGCGTAGCAGCCTTAGGTCTGACACTCTCACTGCCTTGATGGCAATATCACTGTCACCAGCAACAGTTGAGAACTTTTGCCCAGGCAATGCCATCGCTAAGTGGTGGTCAGATGGAAAGACCGCAAGAAGGCCCCGGACCAGGCCATATGGAAGCAGGGCCAGGTCTGCTGAATCCCAGGTTGAATCCAGTAACAGCAGCAGCTCTGACTCGTTTTAATAAAAACACGGTTGTAAACTTCTAATATCCTGCAGTGACCATGAAATAACAGTGGTTATATGAGGACTGTAGGATGCATATATATATTCTTGTGATTTTGATACACAGACACAGTGATTGAGAGCTCAAAATACTACAATCTGTTCTAATATACCCCCCTCAGCTTAATACCTGCCCCAGTTAAGCTGCCAGGTCCAAAAAAATAACCAACAGTCATAACTTGTTTTCATATCCTTTTTTTTAAGTTTAATAAGCATACAAAGCCCAAGTATACAGATGCTGTAGTTAACATTTCAAGACATTGAAAACATGTAAATGTGGCATTGATTCTTTATTAAAACGTTGTTGTTTGAGAGCTTTTGTTTTCTTTACATTACTTTATTTTATAACATAAAACTCAAGTAGTTATTTAATAACTAGAAGAAAACGTAATAGATATAAGTAGCAGATTTGAAGAAAATGATAACTTGGAAGTGTTGCCACTTGAATACTGATGGCGCCACCTGGCTTTTGACTCAGGTGGCAACATGCGCCACCTGGCTGAAAAAAGTATTTCGAGCCCTGAATATATTGTGCATAGCACTTCAGCAGAACGTCTCATATAAGGTCGTATTTGTGTACGTACGGTTAACATCCCGTCTGTAGTTTCCAAATGTTGAAAAAGATATTGTCTGCAATAGGCAAAATTCTGCTGCAACGTTGACCATTGGTCTATAAACACCCAGGTACATGACATTGTACATTTGCTGTGTATAATTACCTGCCAGCAAGAGTCACACATGACGATGGACACATCGGGCAGTAGTGAGCGGAAGTACTGGTACTGCATGGGTTTGGACCATCGTTTGATGAACACCTCTGTACGGCTGATGGCCTGCAGCACTGACCGGTTCACTACCACAGGCGTGAAGTCTGAACCGCCTTGCTGTAGTTAGGAATACAGTATAACATGTGTCAACACAGTATGTCATGTGACAGGCTGAACAAAATTTCTAAACAGGAACTATGCGGCTCCAGATGTCTTACTGAGGAATGAATCTCCTCTACCTTATAAACACAGTATAACAATTAGTGGAATATTCCTCAACCAGTGACATTTTTATAAAGGCAAAAGTCCTGGCAGGACAACAACACAGAGTGGATATTGCTGAACCTGTCCAGAGGGCTGACCACCACAAGAGACAGACAGGTCTGGAGACAGCTGTCTAGTGTCCATCCTCACTTCTACCTTGTCCTCCCAGCAACCAGGAGGTCAAGGGACAAGGAAGGTAGGTAAAAACATGTACCTCAAAGCTCATGAGTCTGCTGGTGAAGGGGTCATCGTTCTCTAGGTCATCTGTGTCATCATCAAACCGCATGCTCTGGATGTCTGAAGACGGGATAACGAAAAAATATATATTCTTTAATGATTGAATAAGGAAAGAAATCCAACTAGGAAGGTGACATTTGCAAAGCAAATACATGATGTTATCTTCACATGGTCCAGTTTAACAAACTATTGCTCTGTTCCTTTTTGCTCGAACACATTGAATTTCATATATATGGTGTGTGAGTCTGGTAACCAGCCCTTCCAACTGGCTACATAATGTAATCCAACACCACAGGGTGTTAACATGATGACAGACACATGGTCCAGGTCACTGACTTTATATGTATGGAGAAGTGCAAAACCAAAATTCATTACCCCAAATAATTAACTCTGGGGCTGGTGTGTTCTGATGGCTGGTGAGTTACACTGAAGAGATGTCACATTACAAGGTGTGTTTTTTTTTAAACTTACCTACTGGCCATACAGTACAGAACTTCTAGAACTCACCTCCCTTCATCTTGTTCTCCTTCCACTTGTCCTTGCCCTTCTTGGAGGAGGGTTCCTGGTCCAGCAGCTGTAGGGCCTCCTCATCACTGATCCCGTCCTCCAACACAAACTCTACCAGAGGGAGAACCTCTGTAGGGAAGAATAGGCATTAGCAATTGTATGATAAGTGCCTGTAAATGCTTTGTCCTAGGATAAGTCTTGTCAAATGGTGTTGAGGATATATTTTAGAATAGAACTTACTGAAGTAGGGGAAATCTAGTCTCTGATGGAGGACAGAGAGGGATGGTACATGCTTACAAGTTTGGTTCGAGTGCAGGAGCTCGACCAAAGTAAAAGTAAGTAAGTTTAGAATTATAGTATATTACTATGCCTCACTTGGCCTGTACATTAAATATCAAGACATAGTATACAATCATGTGGTATCCAAATGAACTAACCTCAACAGTATAAACTATAAATAGAGTTCATACTGAAACATACAGAAGAAATGTTTTGACAATGTAAGGGAGGACTTCCACCACTTGAACCTATATAACGTCAACCCACAGGATAGAGGCAAGTGGCAGGCTGCCATCAAGCCTCAATATGCAGTGTAAGACAATAAACTTGATAGTGAGTGAGAAATACTGTAAGTTCTTACCAAAAGAAGAGAATGAGTGTACAAACGGCTGTCTACAGTTGATGCAGTGGTTCCCCTGGTTGTTCAGCAGGGGGTTGGTGGTGGAGCAGCGGTAACACATCGGCAGTAGGTCCTGCAGAAGACAAGTAAACGAAAAAGAGCAGTCAGCATACCGCAAGGATAGATGCGTGTCCTGACAAGCAAGCATTTACAACTACAGAACCAAAGATGTTCATTCGGGGTGCCGGTCACAACTAGGAGGCTGAGATGAGCTTAAAGGTTTCTTCCATTAGAAGATAAAAAGATACCAATACATGTACACTGGATAAAGCTTCTAACAAAATACAAGCATCCTTGCACTGTTGAATGAGACCTTGAAATGATAGTAAATGTATAAAATTTCAGGGGGCTAAAAAATACTCTTTCTAGTAGTTCAAGAACAGGTCTACACTAGTTTCCACTAGGTATACATAGTCCTGATTTGTAGTACATTTTCTTGCCTTGCCCTCATTTTTGTACCTGTCTTAAAATCAATAAAACAACAGTGAAAAAAAGGTACTGAGTATGATGTATTGAAAGACTGAACAGTTGATGTGAAGTATTCTTGACCTCGCTGTCGTGGAAAGGTTTGGACCTGATGGTGATGCTGCCCAGGTCGATGGACTCCTGGAACCATTTGGGGGCCTTCAGGGACTGGAGCTTCTCAGGAACTCTTTCTTCTGACACAGTTACGTTTTACTATACATCTAGGTTATCTGTATTATTTGTATGTCCTTAGAGTTTTGTATTATTTTATGTGTTGTATTTTATGGGTTCTTTTTTACCTGAAATAAAGAATAAAGAAAGAAAAAAAATAAGTTGTTCTAACCTCGCTGTCATGGAAAGGTTTGGACCTGATGGTGATGCTGCCCAGGTCGATGGACTCCTGGAAGCGTTTGGGCACCTTCAGTGCCTGAAGCTTCTCAAATGCGTACCGGGCCAGCTTGTACCCGCCCAGGGTCCGGCTCTGTTTGGCCAGGGCATGCAGGGTCGCACTGGACAGGGGGGTCAAGGAAGGGTGACAAAACAAGGGAAAGGAAGTGATCTGGAACCAGTTTATATCACTGACAGTTGCTTCCCATATCTTGACAGTATTCTACAATACGCCAAAAAAACAATTACTCAAGCCACTGGATATGATTTTGGAAACGGTCAGCAATTGATATGTAAATCATATCAATCAACAGTTTGTACTTATAAACCTGCCTTTCTGACAACTGTCCAGTGTCACTGACGAAAGCTAGGGATGCTAGCTGAAATGTCTGACCGTTTCCAAAATCATATCCAGCTGCTTGAGTAACTGCTTTTTTGGCGTATCTATTACCTGGATGTCTAACCCTCATCGACCCATTCTAGCATGCTTGCAGCTATAATAATACAAGATAATCTATAAAGGAAAGCTACATCCTATCTGTTTTTGGCAACACCCAATGAGCAGAGTCATTTTTCATTTTCACAATAAGGATACACTTTGGAGACGCCGGGTGGGATCTCCTTGTCCTCCTGCATGGCATGAAGAACAAACCGACAGATGTTGAACAGGGCCTCGGGCAGGTGGGACGTGAACGGCTCATCCTGGAAGGTACATGTAAACATTTTTGGACACAAATTTTACAGGAAAATTCAACTCCTAAAAATTCTCACTGTACTGAGCTGTTAGACCAAAAATGACAATTTAGAAAACAACTGGAGAAATGAAGACAGTTGCAGCAAAGAACTAGTCAGAATTGCCCTGAGGAAGGTGACAGACGGTCACCAAAATGTTGGCTGTGACTTGGTTGTGTAAAAATAGTCTCTTTACTCAGTGACTTACCAACCTGACAAAACTATTCACAGTTGCAGCAAAGGTAATTGAGATACAAAACAAACAAACAAACAAACAAATAATCAAAGGAGCTACTGACTGTGTATCTCTGTATGGAGTGGTAGGCGTAGTACATCTCTGCAAGCTTCTGGAACCTGCGGAACTTTTCCTGCATCTCAGTCTCCTGTTCATGGTGGGACGGGTCTATGGAAAACAAAAGAAAAAGTTTATTTCCAGACTAGAAACTTTCATTTGCAAAGCAAATGCATAATGTTTACCTCCACATATGGTTTGCTGTGTTAATTCTTCTGTTCTCACGAGACTAGGTTACTCCGTGATCAAGATGTACAGTCAACACCAAAAGTTGGAGGTACGTGATTTTTAGTAGAATATTCTACTAACTGTTACTAATTCTATGTGACTGATGAACCTCTTCTACGTTACCTTTCTAGTTACTATTCTTAGAAGTTAGAAGGAAGGAAGAAGAAGAAGGAAGCATCCTGGTACCTCCAGCAATCTCCAGACACTGCATGGACAGCATCCAGTAGTAGTAACCTGCATCGTTGAACCTGTTCTCCCTCACGGCATTGTGGGTAAGCTGCTCCAGGACCTTGACTGCGTCCTGCTGCCGCCCTGCCCTGTGGAAGGCTGGAGAAAAAAACAAAAAACAAATCAAAATAAAACTTATTTTAATATAAACTTATTTTATGTCAAGAAAGTTATTTGGTATTGACTATACTATAGTAGCGTGTGTAGTCCAGTGGTTAGCGATCGTGTCTCTGGACCAAGAGGTTGGGAGTTTGAATCCCGGCTGTTGTCGCTCACCCGACATGCACGCTACTGGAAAGGGTTGCAGTTCTGAGGACAGGATGTTATGCTGTGGTCCACTGTTCATTGTGTTTGTCGAATAGAGCTACTGGAATTTCCCAAGTACAATGAACCTCTATATACATGTATACTGTGCATAATGTCTGTCTTCTTAGAGACCAGTGGGAGATCACTTTCCTTTCACTAAAAATGTAAATTTTTACTTGAATGTGCATTTAATCTACCGGTATTGCTCAGTTCCAACCAACCTTTTTGTGCCTCTTCAAATCTGTCGTTCTCTGCGAGCCATTGTGCATACGCCACGTACACGTCATCCTTAAACTCTGGGTGTCGCTCGACAAGGGCAAAGGCCTGTGGGAGAACACAATCAATCAATCAATCAAATGGTTTATTCTCAACTGACTTCGCAGCACCAGGCTGAATATCGCCAATTGTAACATTCAATTTAAAAACATTATACATTATAAAATACATTATATACATTATGTATTTTACAGTTGGACAAATGAGGGTTGTATATATATTGCCTGTCTCGTCTGCTGTAATTTGTGTACACAAACTTCACATTAGCACATTTGAGTCAGCATTTCATACTTTGGGCTTTTAAAACTGCAGAAAAAAGCGGCCCCAAGACAAGTCCTTTATTTTCTGGGTGGTACCCTAAAAATCAGCCCAGGGCCCTTCCAGTAACCATTTTCCCTCTGAATTTTGGGTATTTTTGCTTCATGAGGGTCAATATCCATTGGGAAAGTGTGGTTTCAACTCAGTATGTAAATAAGTAACTACTGTATAATATTGGTTCTGAAAAATCGGGTTTCCAAACCCTAAAAACTACACAGGATGCCTTTAAAAAGTAGTAGTAATTTCATGAGAATTGAGAGATGTTACATCCTTACCTCGTCCCAGTGTCTAGTGTCCACATGCAGCATGACCAGAGCCTTGGTGTCTCCCATCTTGGCGTAGGTCTCGGCTGCGTAGGCCCAGTGTTCCAGCTGTTTGAAGTAGTGAGCACATCTCGCCAGCGGCTCTCTCTCTGCCTTGTCCAGCCGACGGGCGACGTCGATCAACCTGGTCAGGGGGAGACAATGTTACAGGCTCAAAATTGATTTTTGGGAATAGGTGCACTGGTGCACTCAACCTAAAAATTGGGTGCACAAAAACTTTTTTGTGTGCACCTGTCCATATAAACTAAAATAAGTAGAATGTCAGCAAAACTAATATGTTTCATTTCTACTAAAGAAAAGTACTATAACAATGCTTTTATCATTTTTCTGACACTTAGATGTCTAGAAGCGGTATACTATTTATATATAATATACATATTAAGTAATCCTACAAAAATATCTTTTTTGCACTGATCACCCACAGAAAAAAAGATTGGGTGCACAGCGATCAAGGAAGCAGTCCATATCCAGTTAGAACCCACCAGGATGAATCGCAATCATGAAGGTTGGGAGCTACCCAAGTCCTATTTACCGGATACCCCTACTCCACAAGGAGGTGGGTAGGCCAGAAGACTTGAACAAGTCTCAACCTAGTCTTGTGTTCTCACAGTGGTAGCTGGCTATGTATCTCTACTCACATCTCCAGCCATCCATGGTCCCCGATGATCTCTATAGCCTTGGTGTTTTCCCCGGCAGACAGGTACATCTCAGCAGCAGCCTTCGGTTCGTTGATGTTCTTGGCCCACTCCGCCTGTTTGGTGATCAAGTGACGCTGATCCTTGGGGTCTCCGCTTCCTACATAGTCCTGGGTGGGGAGAAAAACTCAATTTCATTTGATTTATTGAAACTGCAACAGTGCAATACACGTGGGACAAAGGCAGCTGTTGCTGGTCTTGTGTCCCACACAAAGAAACAAATACAGGACAGACAATACTCATTTTCACTTGAGTTAAGTGGGGTCGTGTGGCCCATAGGCAGGGTGCTCAACTCGGAACCAACCAGGATTCCAACACACAACTATACAGAGATCAAATTTTCCAAATTGGGATAATTAATGACCAATCACTTCACAACGTGAACTCGCGAGAGTTACGGTTTACAAACATGTGACCTTATTCACACAAGACTTTACTGATACAAGATGTGAGCAACTGATTTCTGTGTAATTGTGTGTTGGACAACATTTTACTATGATTACTACCAACACAGATGAACTTTCATGAAAGTCTTACCTTAGCATACTCGAACATGCGCAGGTCTGTGTACATGTTCATGGCTTTGCTCTCGTTGCCTGAGCGCTTGTACAGTTTAGCCGCTTCGTGGAACTTGCCCTGGTAGGCGTACACGTCTGCTAGGAACTGCTGGTCATCCCCTTCTCCCCGCTTTATACGGTCCTGGGAAAAAGACACAAGAATGTCAGGAAACTTACATCTCAGACTTAATTACATTTCACACAAAGAAAAACTTGAGTAAAGTGAAAAAAAAAAGAGAAAGAGATATACAATACCTCGATACTGTATATCAGTTCCAAGTATCTGAGGTCACGTATCCGGATGAATGCCTGTATGAAAAGAAGTTAAAGAAAATTGTAACGTCTCAAGTACTGAACCTGTAATACTGTAAAAGTGCAGAATGATGGTATCACTACCACATCCCTAGTTACATTCATCAACTATCCTCTTGAAGCCTGTGTTCAACATAATAACTTACAAGATATTCCAACCAAGAACCTTAGATACGTTGATGGAAAAAGGGTCTGCCGAAATAAAGCCAAATAATAAAATGACAGGACATTTACCATTCTAGTTTTTGAACCATCCCCTATCCCTGAGTCTAACAAAGAGTGCCCATAAAAAGGTTGTGTACCTTTTTGGCAGTCTCGAAGTCCAGCCCCTCCAGAGCCTCATGTGCCAGGTGCTGCCAGTCCAGATCAGTCACCCCCAGACAACCTATTCTGTACGCATCCCTGGTCAAACAAACATGTGTGTTATTATCTTGAAAGTTCATCTGTGTTGGTAGAACTTTCAACACAAGAAATTTTCCTTGACAAAGACTGGAGTTGTACAGTCGAAAATTTCTTGTGTTGGAAATTGCAGTTCAAACTTGTTTCATAATGTATGGCTTATTGTTCAGCATTAGGAATTTATTACATCTTCTTTCATTTTTTTAAAGATTTCAATGTGTCTTAAACCGGGCACAGGATTAATTAACATAGTGAAGTTATGGATTATGTTGGTATCATGCAGTTGGTACGTCTTTTTTCAACAATTTCTGTAAAACAAAAGATGATCTACTTACTTGTACAGTTTCTTCTCCAGGTACTGGTACATTGGAGCTGACTGTGAAGGAACAAACAATGATTTAACACAGCAAAGGATAATATACAGCATGTAATCTGAGTGTGAATAGTGTTCAGCACCAAGGACAAGCCCGTGTATCTGCGTGTGAATGGTGTTCAGCACCAAGGACAGGTGTGTAATCTGTGTGTGGATGGTGTTCAGCACCAAGGACATGCATGTTCACCAATGTGTGGATGGTGTTCAGTACCAAGGACAGGCATGTGTATCTGTGTGTGGATAATGTTCAGCACCAAGGACAGGCATGTGTATCTGTGTGTGTGTGTGGATGGTGTTCAGCACCAAGGACAGGCATGTGTATCTGTGTGTGTGTGTGGATGGTGTTCAGCACCAAGGACAGGCATGTTTGCCTGTGTGTGGATGGTGTTCAGCATCAAGGACAGGCATGTTTACCTGTGTGTGGATGGTGTTCAGCACAACAAACTGGCAAAACATACATGTCCGGAATATGGCAGAGATATTAGCTTATTATAAACATCTGAACAACTGGGAATAGCTGACATCTTTAGACAACATATTATTAGATATGACCAAACATCCATGTGACCCTTGGCCTGAACCATGATCCTTGCCCTGCCCTGTGACCCTTGCCCTGCCCTGTGCCCCATGACCTGACCTGTGGCACGTCAATGGCCGTCATGCTGTAGACGTGGAGACAGAAGATCTTGGATCCGCAGTAGCCGACCACGAAGCCCTGCATCTTCTGCTGGTGCACGGGGAAGTTCCCTGCCTTGATGTTCAGGACTCCTCCCCCAGAGAAACACAGCATCTCCTCCTCCTGGGTGTTCCACGCTACACTGTTGGCATTCGGCTCCTGGGGAGGGGAAATGTTGATATCATAATAAGAAACTAGAAAGGTATTACTAACATTTGCAAAGCAGATGCATAATGTCTACCTTCGCATATGGTCTGCTCTGTTAATTCTTACTCAAACACATTCATATAGATATGGTGACAGGAGTCTAAATCCTTCCTGCTATAAAATTGCAACATGATGTACATGTAACCCAACACTAGTTACCATTGTGACAGACTGTCTGGTTCAGGTCATTGACCTTTTTGGTTTGGAGGAGAAGAAGAAGAAGAAGAAACTGAGCAAAAACAATGTTTTCCTTCGGTACAAACTAACAACAGACGCTAAACCAGATAGTGAGTGAGTGAGTGAGTGTGACAATGTGCAAGGACTACCGGGTATATACCTGTAACACAGGTTAAACAATTTACACATCCGTATCTATAAACCAGGTGAGTGAATGGTCACCTGGAAGAGCAGTTCCTTGGTGTTGACGTCGTACACCAGGCAGGTGTTGTTCTCGTCCACCACGGCCAGCTTGTTCCGCGAGGCACTCATGTCCAGACAGCGGATAGACGTGTTCTGTTTCAGCAGCAGGATCGGGAACGGGTTGTCTACAAAGATCTTCATCACCTGGGAACACAACATTCATGTACAACTTTAATTTCTTGTGTGAAGATGTGTATGTGTGTGGATGGTGTTCAGTACCAAGGATAGGTATGTGTATCTGTGTGTGGATGGTGTTCAGTACCAAGGATAGGTATGTGTATCTGTGTGTGGATGGTGTTCAGTACCAAGGATAGGTATGTGTATCTGTGTGTGGATGGTGTTCAGTACCAAGGACAGGTATGTGTATTTTTGTGTGTGTGTGTGCCAGTGGTGCATAGGGCAGCGCTTATCTCCATTTCTGTAGCCCTTGGGCCACACAGTTGTGCAATCACTACATCAGGGGGCAAGTCCACTGGTAGTGGTGTGTGTTAAACTCCCATACTCCAAATGGTGAGTGCTAAGCAGAGAAAACAGTATGGACCATTTTGAAAGTCTTTGATATGACTTTGGGATCGAACTAACAACCTACCAAATGCAAGGTGCGCACTCTACCCACTTGGCCATTGCACCAGCCAATTCAGAAAAAAGTGCCATATTTTGGCAAACGAAATCTTGCCTATTGACCTATTGACCCACCTGTCCGTTCTTGAGCCCCACCAGTAGCCCCTCCCTGGCCGGAGGACCTCCGATGACCTTGATGTACCTGATGAGAGACTCCATCACCCACTCACGCTCCTTAATGCCCTGGAACGACAGGCACTGCAGACGGCGCTCCTACAAACAATAGAAAAAAAACTTTCAATCAAATGAAAACCTCACTCACTATCCAGTTTATCGTCTGTTGTTAACTGACTTCCGAGGGTTAGACGTGCTTGTACACTGATGCTGAGGCTTGATGGCAGACTGCCATTTGCCTCTAGCCTGCTGGTTGATGCTCTGTAAGTTCAAGTGGTGGAAGTTCTCCCTTACATTGTCAAACAATTCTTCTTTGGTCGACGACGAGGGTTTGGGCCTTCCACATCCAGTGTGAGGATCTTCCTAGGCCATTTGTCACTGTCCATTCTTTGGAGGTGGCCGTACCATATTAATCAATTTGATTACTAGTACATGTACATTCCATGGCTTTATTTGTTAAGGAACATTTAGGTTTCTTTCTATTAAACCGAGTAGTGCCCAAACCTGACATAAGATGATGTTGTTGGACGTGACCACCAGCAGGTTACACTCAAACTTCTTCCCGATCTTCTCCTTGACTCTGTAGTGCATGTCTGAGGAGTCGTCTGAGTAAAGCTCATAAATTATGATCTTCTCTGGCAGCTGGACCTGAAAAAAAGATGAAACAGATCCTTAGCTAGTACCTTCAGGGCTTGAAATTCATTTTGAGGAATGGTAACTGGTGTACCCAACCTAAAAATTTGGGTGAAACAGGTCTTTAAATAGTAAATAAATGTTACCTTCCTACAAGTACAGCTACGAGATGACCAGCTAATATGCAATGGTTACAACTGAATGCTGGAATACATTCGAAAGGGCAAATGCATAATGTTAACATTCGCATATGGTCTAGATCTGCTCTGTTAATTCTTACTCAAACACATTCATATATATGGTCAGACAGAAGTCTAAATCCCTCCTGCTATAAAACATGTCTTTGATGTAACCCAATACCAGTTACCATGGTGACAGATGTCTGGTCCAGGTCAAACCTTATTTGTTTGGAAAAGATGAGGAAGAATATACAGAGAAAAAACAATATGTTTTCCATAAAAATGAACTCAGATACTCACTGCAAGTCTGTGTTTGTAGATGGCTATCTTCTTCACTAAGTCTCTGCATTTGATTTTCACTGCAATCACAATGGACAAGGCATTTAGTATTCATATTTGTGAAGTATTTATTATGTGCAATTAAGTCTACATCAGTGAAGTTTTCAGATGAGGCTATAGACCTTTACTAAACTTGATGCAATTTCATTGCACTAAACATTTACACAGACATGTTATACAGCCATTCGTGGCATGGCAAGTTTGACTGGGGCATAGTCCCATGCTCTTACATACTGTGATGACCAGAGCTGTGTACGTACCTAAACAAATTTAGGTACATGTACAGTGCAGGTACAAGGGTTTAGGTACAGGTTTGGACTTGAACCTGAAGCTGACCAATTTGACCAATTTGACCAGTTTGAACTTGAACCTGACAATTTGACCAATTAATATGTTCTTCTGAACTCTTCTGTACAGTACCAGTACTGAGGAATTAGGTAATTTGAACCTGTACCTTATCAAATTTTTCAGTACAGTATCAGTACTGCGTACTGGCACACAGCCCTAGTGATGATATTCCTACGTCCTTGAAGCTTTAGCGCTGTGTAACTTGACCCTACCCTTCTGTTCCGTGAGCAGGTGCTGTACGATAACGTCTGTCATGTTCTCCCGGTACGCGTAGCGGTCCTTGTACAGGCCGTGTACCGTGCTGAAGATCAGCTGGTAGTACGCTATGGTCCCGTCCTGGCAGCCAATAGCCTGTAACATATAGCAACAAGAAATACTGAAAACTAACAAGAAACGTTTTTATAACAGAAAACTTCTACAACTTGAGAACTGATCACCCTTCTCTTTAACACATTAAAACTTGCAGTAAAACTTGTATGAGCACACTTCTATTTTTAATGTCAATGTTGGAAAACTGACTGTAAAATATTAATTTTCATAACTCAGGTGTCAGATCATGGAGCTAGAAAAGGTTGATCAGCTTAAAAAATTCATGTCCCTTGCAGGGTACACACAAAAAAGCTAAGGTCGGCAGTTTTTTCTAAGGTCGGTCGGGAAACAGGAAACACAACATTTTTCACCAAGGCCTTGAAAAAGATTGTACCAAGTTCAAGTCCATGTAGTAGTACTTACCACAAAGTTTTGGTCAGGTCGTACGCGGCAGGTCCACACCCAGGATTGCTGCTCCCCCACCACCCCCAGCTTCACCCCCTCCTTGGTGTACAGCGACACCTGCTTGTCCGCCCCCCCACACACCAGGTACTCCCCCCGCGAGAAGTAACTCACGCAGCACGGGTCGTAACCTAGGTTACGGTCCTTCCCGACCTGGAGGTAAAGGTCAATACGCAGGTTAGTCACAGTGTATACAGCACGTCAGCAGAACGTACTGCGCCTGTGCAATACCCTGATTTTTGGTCACCGTTGCATTAGAATTTGCCTGTTGCATCTAGATATCTTTTCCAACACAACATTTGGAAACTACAGACGGGATTAACATTATATGTGTAAATACCACCTTATATGAGATGTTCTGCCGAAGTACTATGCACAATACATTACAGGTTTCATGCAGGTGCAGTACATTCTGCTGACGTGCTAGTGTCTATCAGTTATCAAACTGTATAGGATACATACCAACATACGAGTGTGCAACTTTGCAGCAAACAGCAGTTAAGTTTTATTCATACATTTCTGCCTTTTTCTGTATACCTTCATTCACTTGTTAAACATTTCCTGTGCCTTACCTGTTTACCACTCAGCTGGTAAAAGGACAGTTTCTGACTCCAGTCTGCAACTGTCAGGATGTCAAATGGTTCATCCCTGAAAAACATGCATAAACAGACTGTGTTCATCAACAATTAAAGGGCAAAATAAGACTTTCTTGTTGCTTTTATAATATGTATATAGTAAAAGCGTTAATAGTTTTAACTTTTATGCTTAAGTCCAAGCACCAGTATTACTCTTTACTAAAAATCCTAGTAAGATTTGGAATCTTTTTGGCTATGCCTCAGGAGTGGAGCCTTTTATCAAAACTGTTGGTTAGTCCATGAGGGTAGTTTATGGTAACAAAAATGATTGTCAATAGTAATTGGTTAATATAAAAATCAAGCTGTAGTATTGTTGTGCAAGCATGTCTAACCCAGGGAAGTCAGGGAACAACAGACGCTAAACCAGATAGTGAGTGAGTGTGAGGGATCTAAGAACAGAATGTTGTGACTTACTTTGACGGGTTCCATTCCAGTGACCAGATGGGTGAGATGGCACCTCCTGGCCGCTCTATCTTTACTTTCTCTTCACCATTCTGTAATTACGTAAGAAGGGAAGAAATGTACATTAAGAAAAGAAAATTAGAGAAAATGTTGAGTATTTTACTTCTCAACAAGAATTATAACAGTAAGGTATGGTATTTAGAAAATACATAGTATAAGTTGCCAAAAACACATTTATTTCTTGGTGTTAATTACAAAAACCAAAGACAACACACAATCTTTACATTAGTCTTCTCATCATGCATTAAACTACATTATTTCCCTCCATACTAACAAGCAAGTCAGAAACATTTTGAACAGTTTAAAGCAAGGTTGAAACAAACAGGCACACCTTGTTTCTGATGCTGACACATCCATTGTACAGCCCAAGAGCCAGGTACTGGCCATCGTTAGTCCAGCTAAAAATAACAGGCAAGTTCAATTAGTATTGAGTATTGACCATGCCGTTATCAAACATTGTACTAACTCATTCAGCATGCACTTTGTCATCAAAATTCAAATGCTCAGGTTTATTCAACACACTCAGATCAGCAAGTCATGAACATTCTTTTGCATAATGTGGTTGCAACACAGTCCAACAGAAGATCATACTTCAATTCAGCACCAAGGACAGGCATGTGTATCTGTGTGTGGATAGTGTTCAGTACCAAGGACAGGCATGTGTATCTGTGTGTGGATGGTGTTCAGCACCAAGGACAGGCATGTTTGTGTGTTTGTATTTGTGTGGATAGTGTTCAGCACCAAGGACAGGCATGTTCACCTGTATGTGGATAGTGTTCAGCACCAAGGACAGGCATGTGTATCTGTGTGTGGACAGTGTTCAGCACCAAGGACAGGCGTGTTCACCTGTATGTGGATAGTGTTCAGCACCAAGGACAGGCATGTGTATCTGTGTGTGGATGGTGTTCAGCACCAAGGACAAAGATGTGCATCTGTGTGTGTATCTGTGTGTGTGATGTACCAAGTACAGGTATGTATTTGTGTGTACAATTTGTGTGTACTGCCAAAATATACATGTCCATCATGTGATGACCCTTACCTGCAGCAGGTGATCTTGATGCCAACCTTGTGTTTGTTAACTGACTTCTGCTCCGGTGACCACATGCCTGGAGAAGAAATTTTTTAAATTCATTTATTTTGTAGAAATTGTTTATCATATCAAGGCCGCCTAAAGTCTTTGTTTATCTTTTCAGCACATAACTAAAACAAACCACAACTAGTAGAAAGGTAACATTTGCAAATCAAACACATCATGTTTACCTTTAAATGGCCCAGCTTACTACTGCTTTCTTTATTCTTACTCAAATACACTCAAATATATGGTGGCCATGCAGCCCCTCTTGAACACAGTTCTGCATGGCACTTGCAACATTATGTACTTAACCCAATATCAGTCTGGTCCATGTCATTGACCTAATTTGTTTGGACAAGAAAAAGAGACAAAAACTATTCTGCAAAGGTAAACATAAGGAAGGTCCTTATATCATGATTAGCTCACCAAAGTCACTGCTGGTGCAGCTGGCCAGCTGGTGGGTGACTGGGTTGTACGACACACACTGGATAGGGTCATTATGAGTGTATTTGAGGATGCCCTCTAACTTGGATGTCCAGATGATGACACTCTTGTCAGCTGAACCTGATGCAAACCTCTTTCCTGGAAAAATAAAACATGCAGTTTTTATTTCATTATTCTATCAAAGATATTTTTTGTTAGCATGAAAGCTCATCTGTTTTGGTACTACATGTAGTACATTCCTTGTAGTCTCTACCAGACTCCTTTGCAGACTGAATAAATAGTAGAAATTGGCATAAAAACAATGTAGCTGGCCTGGGGAGTTGGCCGGCCAGAGAGGGTCCATTTGCCTGCACGGACCCTCTCTCTGGTCCTCTCAACACCCTGGCCAACTATACATTCTTTTTATGACTGCAAAGGAGTCTGGTGGAGACTACATTTCTTGATGAATACTTTTGTCTGGTGGAGACTACATTTCTTGATGAATACTTTTGTTCAACACAATCAACTGTTCAAGTTAAACATTTGTGGCTCACTCCAAGGCCAGGATATTTCTTGTGTGTATACTCGTAATCAAGGATAAAGTAAAATTTCACATGCAGGAGTCCTGGACCAATACTCACCATCTTTGGCATAAGCCACACAGTACACTGTGTCTTTGTGTCCCTTCAGTGGCTGGACCAGGGTACCATCATTGGTATCATACACCTACATGGACAATACAAATCGACTGGTCAAAAAGGTAGCTACATATGGCCAAAGAGAAGTTGCCTCATGAGACAATGTATTATTGCATCTTGATATTAACCCTTGTCCTGTTGGCATTTTGTACACAATTTTATATTTCAATAATTTCATGTCTTAATCAGGTCATAAGCCCTTGACTTTTTCTGGCCCTGCGGTGCCTTAGTAACTTCCGCATTCGTTGCGTTTTGCTGCGGTGTGATGCGTTGCACAAGAAATACCCCCAAATTGTACATATACAGGGTGCTATATGGACGGTACTGTATATGGCTTTGTATAAGTATGTGTATTACAATGAGATAATGTTATAAGGCATAACATTACTGACGACATAATTATGCAATATAATGTTTCCTCACCAGAACCCTGTTTCCAGCAGCAGCAATGAGCTGGGACCCGTCAGGTTTGAAGGCCAGGTCCCAGATACTGTAGTACAATATAAAATTTTAGTGTGTGAAAAACATGCAATCTTCATATACGTAAGTATAACAACTTACTAGTACTTGCATAGCCGAAGACATCTACTCTACTCATAGCAAAAATTATTCTGTAACAGGTGTTATAAGGTGCTAACGTTATATCGTGCGTTATAAAAGATTGCAATAAAACCTGACTGTAAAAAAGCCTTAGGAGCCAATCACAGTATACAGTAATAAAAGATAGACATGCAGAAAACAATGTCAATCTACACATGAACTAAATTTAGCCAATTTCTCCGTTGCCATGGAAATGACAAGCGACGTTCTGGTCTAGTCCGGCCAAGTTGGTCCACAGATAGCGAGACTTTCTCGGTTCGACGAGCTGTTTTACGTGCATATCTCGCACTAAAAACTACAACTAACTCTTCCTCTGTTTACCCTTAAGCGCTTGTGTGTGTGAAAACCATGATAATCACCATTGTTCGACTTTATCCCGATCGTGAACCTTGTCCACCCAGGTCGGAATCGCCCGCATTTTGGCCGCTCTCTGGAATTTTGAAAAGTGAAACAAACGCGCATGCGCAATTAGCATACAATCTCGCGAGACTTCAGCGAGAGCTCAGTACTGGAATGTGCCATTATTATTGTCAAGGGGTGATTTGTTTTTACCAATTTGGGTTTTCATTATTTATAAATATACCAATGCCTAGCAAGAAAAAATATCATGTACATACTAATTTAATTATTTTAAAAAGCTATATATAGGGAATAGTTTCTCTAAATCCTTTTTCTTTAAGGTAATAATTTTTCTCTCTCTCCCTCAGATGGGATGAACCATCACACATCATGGCGGCATATATTAGCCATTGAGGCCATTTCCTGTTACGGAGCGAAGAGGTTTCGTTACTCCTTCACTAATTGAACACTCATTACTGCGTTGGACGTACGAAATTATGCTGGCGAGGTAGAGAGAAGAAATCGGGCTAATTGCAGTAAAGGTGAGGTGACGATTGTTCTCTGTTGTGGGCGAACACAAGAGGCTAGCGCGTACGGGGTTGGTTGCACGATCGTCGTCAGAAGTCTTTTGTTCGCCCGTGTGGGTGTTTTGTTTTGTTAGCCGGGTTTACATAATACTGTTCTGTCGTGCGATGACCTCCTGCCGGTCACACCGAGATGTGTCATACCTGCGTTCTTTAGTCAGGAAGAGGAACTAAAACCTACGTGCGTAGTACAAGGTTGGGTCTTCCCAGAATTTGTCCTAGTAGGCTTTGAAACAAGACGGAAGGAGAGTATTCTTACTACGCAGCGTTACGACTGGATAAATTTCTTCAGGAAGTTGAGTTTTCTGTCGTCGATGCTGGACAGGTAACCAAATTTTCACCTGTTAATTTTTGACTTGGTCATCGTGACCTGGTCTGGGCCGACCGTCTGTGGTTTCGTAACGGTTTCTTATATAATGTAGTGTCCAGAATTAGTAACGTTATCTGTAAAAGATTATAGGGATTTTAGGGTGTAAAAGTGTAAGACTCACGATCAGGAGAATCGTAATTTCTTGAATAACGGTATCAAGATATCCAGTTTTCGACTGATCAAATTTGTTATAAAATATTGGTATGTTATCATCACTTAAGGCTGCCCATATTTTCCCAATGAATTATGATATTGATTCTCCTAAATTATTTGAATTAGATAATAGTTAATATGCCTACCTGCCTTGTAACATTATCATGCATTATAGTATTATGACTTCCATGACTTCATAAAGTGGGCATGTAACGTTACTTTTTTTAAATCATAGAGAGGGCCCTTGGTTAGTACTGTACAATTCTTTGATTGAACTCAACTTGAAAAACAAAACTATGAAGGAAAAAGTGTAACGTTACTACATAAGTTGGAAGACATAATTTTAAAACATTGGTTTTAATGACTCAATAGTTGCCTGTTATTTCACAGCTTGACTGTTGCTACAAGCTTAAGTAAGATGGAAGAAGAAGACTTCTCGGGAGACAGTGAGCTGGACCAGCTGTCGGAGGCAGGTGATGGGGATGATGTAGAGGAGGAGGCTGAGGAGTGGGGAGGGGGTCCAGGTCCAGCAGTCGGGCGTCTCAACACTCGAGGTCAACTACTCCAGATGGAAGACTTCATCAGGACTCCACGGGTATGTGCATGTTTTGTTTTGTTTTTCTTTTAATGCCCACGGTTATGATAATGTTCATTCTGGCATACTCATTTTCACCTGAGCAAAGTGAGGAAAGTCGTGGTAGGTGCCATTCCCAAGGGCACAAGGTTGGTGACATAGAAGGATTCGAACCCGGGACCTCTTGGTTCTGAGTGGAACGCCCTGCCGTTACGCCACACGGCCCCACACATATACATCATACTACGTGTACAAGTAATACTAACTTGGTCACTTAAAAATTAGCTTAACACTGGTTTTGAATTCTGGTCATTCTGTACTAGCGTGGTTACCAAACCTATTTTAGGTACTAATTTTTTTCCTCTCAGAATTTTTCCTCTCCACTGTTTAAGAATATCCATTTCCAATGTATGACTTCGTGTAGTACAGAACTGTTTCAACTGGAAACTTAAAGCACTGCGCAAAAAAAAAAACTCTTCCCTCCTACTATGAAATAAAACCCACTGTAAAAGCAAATGAACACACATACAGTAGTGAGCATTTCACAATAATCCAGGTAGTTTTATTTCACTGATGACAAAAATATACTATACGGACCTAGACACAGTGGAAGGCTTCCGCTGCAAGAAAAGGACTTCCAAAAATGTCCAAGTGACTACCCTTCTGGCCTTTTATGTGCCAGCAAAATTATAGTCACAGTTTTGTCCCCCTTGCCCAAATGTGGAAAACCATTACAAATGGCAAGCATGTCTATGTTTGTAGCACAGCCCTCTCCCATGATATTACGGCAAATTACTCATGTTACATAACTGGGAACTGTTAATCTTCTAACGTACTTTAACATGCTAAGCTTTTGAATGGAATCCAAATAAAATGTGTACAAACGAAAAAAAACAATGTGCATCATCTGGGGCATACTAGCAGACGACATGCCAATCTACACTTGATCGAAACATCTGCTTGAAAAAAATGCAGATCCATAACATCGACAGAATACATTGCCTGTATCATTCCATCAGAATAGGGATTTCTCTAAAATATTACATAAAATGTGTACAAGTAAGCCACATCATTTCTACGCAATTTAAGGCCAATTTTCCTTTCAGATTCATACATACAGTACGGTGCACTGCCCTCAATTATTCAAATGGCTTCCCTCTTAAATAATTTACGTTGATGTTACATGGCAGGTGTCCCTTTAGTTTTTACTATCCAGCCATTTACATGGTAATTCCTTTAGGGTGGATTACTGGCCAGTCTACATAATGCTGGCTGTACTTAAATTACTGATAACATGCTAAGTGGGACGCATGGCTTTTAATAGGAAAGTGTTACTTGATCGAGATACTAGAAGTTAAGTACTACAAGTCAGGGGCTTTTCTAAACCTTACTAGTAAATAAGGACGCTACTCCCTCATGTATTATAAACCAGCTCCCTCATATCAATTTTCATATTGAACCGTAAGTGGCTACTTACACACCATTTAGTCTTTCTCAAAATGATCTTATTCCAGTAAAGATGTAAAAACAATGTAACAAAGCATTAAAAACTGTGTTACTCTTATAAAAAAAAAAACATGGTCGCTTTGATCCCTTGCCATGATTGCGATCTGCTACCTCATGTTAGAACTAGGGGTGGGTACCGGTTCAGAAAATTCAGGTCCAGGTCCGGATCAGGTTCAGAGGATCAGGTCCAGGTCCGGACCTGAACCGGACCTGATTTATATTGTACAGTAGTATAGTATATCATATTTTGGCAAGCGAGACACAATTTCTTCGTGTACACGACACGGCCGTGCATGAGGCCGCTTTTCCCGATAAATAATACGGCTGAAATGCCAGCACATCCACAAATAATTTGATCAAATACTTAAATTGCTGCGATCTAAAATGTTACAGGGTTCTCTTAGCGGGGGTTGTTTATTGTTTTGATTGGTAAAATACGCTAAAAATTTAGCCACGCCGCGGTCCACACTTCCGGGTTAAGTGACGACAAAATCACGTCGAAAACGCTAAAAATCCGCATAGAAGCATATATTTTCCCCAAAGATTCTTGAAACTATGCATTTCTTCACTAGAATATCGATGTGTGGTTGTGGAAAATAGAATTTTAGCGCCGATATCGAACAAAGAAAAGTTGTTTACACGCGCGTCGGCTCGCTCAAGTCTGCCGCTTACGCTGCTAATCTCCAAGCAGATCATACGGTGGCAAGGCAGTATCCATTGGCCAGAGGAGTGTCCATTAGCCACCGAAGATCTGCCTGCACTCGCACAGGGAGGAGCACTTCCTTTCAAAAATGGTGTTGCTGCCCCTCCTTGTGCCCCTATTAACAGCAATTGAAAAACTGGCCACGCTAAGGTTTTTACAAGCGGTTTATAGCTTGAATCTGGGACAAATTCAGTCACCCGCGCACATCTCAGTGGGAGTTCCCCCCCTAACTGAATCAGATACAATTCTGTATGCTGGCACTGTGATGCTTTCTGAAACATGGAAATGGATACTTATGGTTAAAATTTAAAACCCCATGCCAGACATTACAAAACACAAGGTGAACCTTCTCCTCCGGATCCATTGTTTAAACTGCCCAATACATGTATAACAGTTGGTGTTGTGACCCATAGACAGACTTCCTGTAACGGCCAACCATGCAGCCCCACTAGGAGGACAATAGCCTTGCCCGGTGGTTAGGGCAATAAACTACTTGGCAAACACATTCTGAGTAGGCAACAACTAGGTGTTAATAGCCTTTGACGTTTCGACTGCAGGCAGATCTTCGGTGGCTAATGGACACTCCTCTGGCCAATGGATACTGCCTTGCCACCGTATGATCTGCTTGGAGATTATACGCTGCCAGCAGCGGGCGCAACAACCAATCAGAGATGCGAAATGCCGACACGTGACGCGGGATTTCGTCACAATATGGGGGAGGGCTCGCCGTGCACGAAATGTTCTTGCGTCAATATTCAGCGCCATGTTTCAAGAGATTAATACCGGGAAACATTTTTTTCTTGTTTTTGAACGCATAAACATGGATTTAGGCTGATCTAGTATGATTCAGGGTTATTTTTTTACCTGCCATGGCCAGATTATCTGAAGATGTGTGTGTTGTGTGTACAATCTACAGAAATGTACATCAGGTCCGGTCATCCGGTTTTCACGTTTCGGTTTTTTGGACTCGGTTCTTGAATGTTGTTCCGGTCCAAACCGGTCCGACTGAACCGGTACCCACCCCTAGTTAGAACTTAGATTTTTCTAGAAAAAACCCTGATAGTTGTACTCATATTCAACAATCATTCCTACGTTTGAAGTATAATCAGTTACCCACAATGTCCTGTAGAATCATCTAGTACTAGTACATTATACATGGCAAATTTATGTAATGGCAAAAATGTAGACATATTACTAGTATAGTTGTTACATAAGAAAACGAAACA